ACAGCGTATAATGTACCTCAACTAAACTGAAAATAAGTGATTGAAGGTTCAGATAAAAAATAATTATGACAATAATATCTAGTATGTTAATAATGCATTTACCTCAAGACTGGATTACTGTAACTCATTACTATCAGGAAGTCCATAGATTGTAGTTGAAAGTCTTCAGTTTGTCAAAAATGCTGCAGCTAGAGTTATGATGAGAATTAAAAAGAGAAATCACATATCTCTCCTGTCTTAGCTTCACTACATTGGCTGTCTGTTAAATACAGAATAGATTTTAAGATCCTCTTTCTCACATATAAAGCTTTTAATAATCAAGCTCCATCTTACATCCGTGATCTGATTGTTCCGTATGTTCCTGCAGGTTTACTGGTGGTTCCCAGAATATCTATAATTAGGATGGGAGGCAGATCTTTTAGCTATCAGGCTCCTCTCTTGAGGAACCAGCTCCAAGCTTTAGTCCGTGAGGCAGACAACTTGTCTACTTTTAAGACTAAGCTTAAAGCATATTTATTTGATAGGGCCTATGGTTAAATTCTGATGTTGGCCCAGATCTGGACAAGTTTTGGGGGAGGGTGAAGTGTACAGAGAATACAGTCGGTAAAGACAGCTCTCCCTTGCCTTGCCTCCACCTCCATCTACAAGGCTATGTTATCCAGAGTTATCTCTGTAGTTATGCTGCAATAAGCTTAGACTGCTGGAGGACATACTGACCACTTTCCACACACTACTACTTTCTTCTACCCCTTCTTTCTAATGTCATTAGTTCCTGCTATTTCAGCTGTTCAGCTATCTATGAACACAACATGGTTATCCATGCCTTTATCTCCTCCCGTCTAGATTACTGTTAAACACTCTTCACATGTTTTAACAAAAAAAAAAAAACCTTGTCCGCCTTCAGTTAGTCCAGAACTGTGCAGCAAGGCTCCTAACTGGAGCAAACAGAAAAGCACACATCACTCCTATTCTAATGTCTCTGCACTGGTTACCCATTAACTTTAGAGTTTATTTTAGAATCCTGATATAACTTTCGGGGTTCTACATAGTCAAGCTCCTCCCTATATTACTGAACTGGTAAAGCCTTATGCTCCAACCTGAGCCCTCAGGTCCACACACCAGAACCTTCTGGATGTTCCAAAGACCAGATATGATAGTTGAGGTGATCGCTCCTTCCAGGCTGTTGCACCCTGACTTTGGAATGATCTTCATTAATCCTTACGTTGCATTGACAGTCTGGACACTTTTAAAAAACAATTAAAGAGCCTTTTATTTAAAACTTTCACATAAACCTTTTGTTTTCTTATTTTTAACTCAAATTTGGAATAATCTTTCATCTGTTTATAAAATTTAGACTTTATTTTTTCCAATGTTAATCTCATTATGCTTTGAGATCATTATGATTTTAAGACTTTATGTTTTATTTAGTTTTGATCAAAAGTATCTGAAGCACTCTATGTCTGTGATGAGTGCTATATAAATAAAATGAATTTACTTACTTACTAGGGCAGAACGATTTTAGGAAAAGATTGAATTGCAATTTTTCTAGCAGAAATTGCGATTTCGGTTCATTTCACGATTTTCTGCAAACAAATGTCCAACACTAGCCTGCCAAGCCATCCTGTAGATTAAGTGAAAAGATGGTCTAGATTCTAATCTAGTACAACAAATCATTCACATTAATAATTACTATTTAATCATACAATAAAAACAGTTAAAGCTATTAATATTTTCTCCCATTGTTATCATTTAAAAAAAATTTTTTAATGTGTTTGTGAAGCAACTTGTGCTTGTGATTTTTATCTAGAGGAGCTTTATAAAAACATGTTCTACTCCAAAAATGCATGGAGAAAATCTGTAGGTACAGGGTTCCACCAGCGCTTTATAGGCCTGGCGGCCCGCCAGGATTTGCTTGGCCACCTGCCAGGTTAAGCGTCATGTCCCACCCCCCTCCCCGACCCTACCGTGAATGCTGACACGAACGGCGCAATGAAACTAGAGCCCTCCATCAGCTGATACTGGTGAGAAACAGCAGCGGAACATGGTCAACACCCCCACCCCCACTCTCACGGTGGAGTGCTGCGGGACTTCCTTTGACATTGAATGTGCTACTACTAGTTTACCCATTTAATTATATATTCACTGAGATAAAGACAATAAAGTTTATCTCGTACTAAATAGAATATTTACTAAGAAATCATAATGTAGCCATAGAAACACTACTTGGTAAATATGTTGCGTATGTTTGTTGCTGCATGTGTGTGTGTGTCTGCTCTGTCTTCTCGATCCTCAGTGAGTCGTGGAGGATGGCTGCTTATACTAAGCCAAGATCCTCTGCAGGTTTCTTCCTGTTAAAAGGGAGTTTTCCTCTCCACTGTCACTACATGCTTGCTTAAGTCTAATTTATACTTCTCCATCAGCTCCGCAAGGGAGAGACACACACGCATTTACAGAGATGTTTTGCTTTCAGATGTCAGCTGGGGATTGTTGCTAAACAATTCACCGCCAGGACAACAGAGGGCGTAGCGCTATTCTGAGGTATCCTGTCACCATAACACTCATGTACCCAGTCCAGGATAGTTGTCTTTACATTGTTTTATTGTATTTCAGAAAACACGGACAAATTTGTCCCTCATTCTCCTCCACCTCTTCATGCGATTGGCACCTCTAAACCCACGTATCTCCGTCCATGAATAAAACGCTTGCTGCAGTCTCGGGTGAATAAATGTTCATATTTTCAGGCTTTTTCTGCGATGCATTCTTCAATCTGTTCCATGTCTGCTGCTAAATCTCTCTTTATTTTTGAAGCAGCAAAGACGGTGCTGAATGAAAACAGGAAGCACTGTCCTGACTAGGGATGGACAATATATCGGTATCGGTTCCTGGTATAGGTTAACTTTTACCGATACCGATACCAGTATCGCATCGGTATCTGCACCGATACCAGTATCGGTATCGTGCATCCCTAATGTGAACAGTGAATGAAATCATCTCAGAACCGTAAATGTGTGTGGTGTGTGTACATAATAACGTAAATTCAGCTTTAATAATTTTCATTCTATACAAAATCTGCTGATTTTAGAAGCATTAATGTCAGTATATCGGTATCGGCAAATATTGGTTATCGGCCATAACAGTGATCTTAATTTCGGATATTGGTATCGGCCCAAAAATTTCATATTGGTGCATAACTAGTCCTGACCAGTCACAAGCTTGCGGTCTCCAACTCTTTTGACGGATAGTTAAAATTTGGGGAATGTCTCCCCAAATCCCCAATGTCATTGCGCGTGTCCGTCCCGATGAGAAGTATAAATTAGGCTTTAGTATGAGGATTGCTGTAAAGACTCTGAAACTAGTCAGTGACTCGATGCAACCTGCTGGGTTCCTTATATAGGAATCTTTTTTTACTGATTAGCTTAAAGCTTCTTTCTGGAGTTTTTCTCTTATCCGATGGCACCAACTAGTGGCTGACAAGCGCATCACACAAAACTGCTGTTGCTCTGATTGTTTCAGATGGCGACTTCACGTTTCTGTTTATAATTGTGCTTCAGTAGCCAACAAACAGAGCTAAAACATGTTGTTTTACGAGTATTATTCTCATGTCATGTTGTGTTTTCATATAATTATATTTTAGAAACTTTCTTGTCTGTGAAAAGTTCATCAACTCTGCATCAGCCGAGGTATTCCTTAGATTTGATGCGTCTAAGCGGTAGTCTAACGCTATTGGTTAGTTCTGGTCGGTGCTCAGTTTCCTATTCCGCGGAGCTCTGCGGGGCAGGGGGCGTGCTTAGCAAAAAAAAAAAAAAGACGTATTGCTTATATTATATCACAGTACATGATAAGATCATCACTTTTACGGATTTCTGACAAATCATACATGATTTCTGAAAGAGGAAACCCCTAGAAAGCAGCTTTAATGAACCGAACTGTATTGGAATGTTTACTCTGTGAAGTGCCTTGAGACAACTCTTGTCATGATTTGGTGCTACATAAATAAATTTGAATAGAATTAATTTGTTGTTTGCACAGATGTATATGTTGGATTCTTTATGCCAACACAAGTCTATTTAAATCCAGCCAATCAGCTTTAACCCTGTGCTCTTATTTAATCTGCTATGTGTGCATTTCACAAGTCCAGTCCCAACATTCACAGCTGGAGATAAACAAACATCAGTATGCCAGAGATGCTCTCCACATGGCCTCCGGCTGACTGGAGTCTCTGATCACAAAGGGGAGAAATGCTGTTTGGAGTCAGATTACACACATACACACACCTGAGTTGAGGCGAGTAGCCTGTGTCAGATGCTCTGTGACTCAAACCTATTTTCTTTCTTAATCCTTTCCATTCATTATTCAGTCCTGGGAAACTAAAGTTTGCAGGCTTGTTGTCAGTTACTGCATCAATTATGAAAAAACATAATTACATTCCAGTTTAATTAAACCAAACTTTACTTAAGATTATTCCTCTGTTATAGAGCATTAATAAATCTTTGAGTGGCTGTTTTGGGCTGTGACTGTTTAAGCACAGGACTAGACACTGTGGACACAGTGAACATGTTCAGTAAATCACAGGCTTTATTTAAAAAGCATTTGGGCTTTTGGGTGGCAACGGGGACGGAGAAGGTGTGTGTGTTTTAAAGGGGGTTGGTTAACTGCAGGGAAAAGGGCCCAGCTGGGCAAACTCTTCACCCGATTTCACATCCTCTCAGTAGCCCCCCCCCCCCCCCACACACACACACACACACACACACCACCACCACCACTTCCTACCACTCAGTAATATGGTGAAATGTGTGTGTATTATGAGATGTCTGCAATTCCAATTAATGCTGTATTGATGGGAGTTTGTGGCAATTTGTTTAAAATGATTAAATCACAAAAACAAACATTAAATAAGCAGAGCTGTAAATAACTTCTCTCTAAAACTGTAATTATAAATGACTTAATGACACAAACAAGCGCGCGCGCACACGCACATACACACACTAAACCTTGCTTACTGTTGCTCGACTTCAGGTCTCGGTGGATGATGGGTACCACGGCCTCCTCGTGTAGGTACAGTATCCCGCGTGCGATCTGCACGGCCCAGTTGACCAGGATGTGAGGCGGGATGCGCCTCCCGGTCAGCGCCCGGTTCAGTGTTCCGCCCCGAGCATACTCCATGACCAGACACAGGTTGGGCTCCTCCAAGCACACCCCTTCCAGTTTGATGATGTTGGGATGCTGCAGCATGGAGAAGAGCTTGGCCTCCTGCTTAACGCTGGCGGCGGTGGCCGTGATGTCCTCATCCGGGTCTTGTCGAGCCGCTTTCACTGCCACCTCCTGATCCTTCCACGTTCCTCGGTAAACTTTGCCAAACCCGCCCACGCCTATGATCTCCTCTAATACCAGTTCACTGAACGGAATCTGGGTGGGCGAGCTGGGGACCTGTTCTGGTGCTGACCCGTTAGTTGACTGGAGGCGGTAAATAGCGGGCTGGTAAGTGACATAATTGGAGGGGAAAATCCCGACCCGGTGGTTAAGTTTACCTGTCCACCATCCCTCGTCCCCGGAGATCGCTGCGTCCTTGGACAGGACCTCTACCACGTCACCCCGTCTGAGGCTGAGTTCGTCCTCGCCACTTGCCTCGTAGTCATACGCGGCTGTCCACAGGGACCGAGTGGGACACAGCGGGGCAGAGTGAGCACACGTCCGAACGGTCGGGTACTCAGTCCAGGCATGCTCGCCTGTCCCTCCCCCGCTCGGCCGCACTTCACCGTTTGGGGAAGCGGCCTGCGAGACATCCATTTCTCGGTGGCCGTAGCGGCACCATAGGGTGCGGAGCTTTAGCGACTGAATTAAAACAAAAAAATTATATAATAAACGGTCAAATGTTACTTTCTAAAATCACCATCTTGTAACATTTCTCTATCCAACGAGGAAACGGAAGAATGCCCTTCTCAGGCCTCGCTAAAGTTAAACAGTGTCCAAAGTCCTGATAGACAGTGTCCACAAGCGTGTATCCACGTCGCCACTCCGGTAGAAGTGTGAGGGTCAACGAGCAGCTAGCAAAGCCGCTGCCTACGATTAGCAGAAATAGACTAACGGTTAAAAAACTTGTAGAACGGTGGAAATAAAAACCTAATGGGTCAGAAAGCTTCATATTTGGGATAAAACATGTCTCGTTACGGTGCTTCTACTCTTTAAAGATAGTGGTAGCGGTATAAAGTTTTCGCTTTACCGATGGAGCGAAGTTACCGCAGGTGCCAGAGAGGTGCACCTGCACCGTCCACACCGATGAGCCACGTAGAGACTCTGTAGGGCTGGTTTCCCGTTCAGCTTCACGGGAAAACTGCATGTAGCAACTCTGCTGGAAAATGTAAACTTTCCCTGGTCGTTTGTGGACTTTAATCGGGAATGTCGAATGCATTCCAGACTTCTGGCTAGCGGGTTAGCTTAGCATAGGTCAGTCCGTTGACTGGTGGTGGAAGAGTTGCTCCTCTGGAAGATCCTTTAAATCCGAAGTTTATATCTTTTCCCAGGGTGTGATGTAAAGCCAACTGTTTATAAATAACGAACCGGAAGCACCGCAGCGGGATTCAAAGCATCGCGACGTTGATAGACACATAAGGACAAGTCCGTAAACTTAAACCAAAACAAGTCCCCCCCACCGCTACCGTCGCCAAGCGGACTCGATGTCAGCAGTGGCTGGATAGAGGATCTCCTGCTTCTCGAGACCTGCTGTTTTGTTCTCTGATTGGTGAGATTTGTGTCACGTGGCTCGACCAGCAAGTTGTGGGGGAGGAAGGAGGAGCTACTGTAGGAATGTGAGGAGAGCGGGCTTTCATGGTAATGATAGGTAGGTTGTATGGAACCCAGAAAGTACCAAAATGAAACAGAAATTCAAACCACCCGTGTTGTCAACTGCTCAAATTAACAACAACAACAAACAAAGAGAAACTTTAAAAAAGAAATAAAGAAAATCTGCTATTAACCGCATATAGATGTGGAATAACAATATTTTTGGTACAGTAGCTGTGTTGAGCTATGCTTTCAGTGTTGAGCTGAGGAAAAATCTAAACTGGGAAGCAGACGTATATTTTATATTTCAACATTAATTTCCAAAAATCTAGCAATAACAATTAGTAACATCAATTGTCTCTGGTTAATGCTATTGTAAAAATTTATTGTTATGCATGAATTATGACAACTGCAAACATGTTGTTTTTGGTAGTAATGAAAAAATAAAAACTTTGATTTTCAATTTTTAAAAATGTACACTTCTCGCAGATTGTTTTACTTGTCCACAGAAATTTTACAATATGCACGTTGACTCTGGAATATGTATTTGAATAACAAACTAGTTATATTAGTGTATTTAATTATATAAAATGTTTCAGGATTACTACTTGATACACAACTAGCAGAAAACAATGTGTGGAATGATAATGTGGTGGCTTACATTAAAAATTACTCAATACCGTGTGTTTATATGTGGATGCTATCAACACCCACTCAAATAAGAAAACTGCCCATTTTTGTGACCTCTGTGGATGAAAGGGTTAAATTAGAAACATATGTTTTTTGTAGAATTTATATATTTTGATTACTTTGTGGATTGTCACTGAGGTCTGACCCAGCTCTTAAAAGTTAAATAAATAAATATAGGTTATAACAGCTGTTCTCAAGGTTGGGGATGGGACCCCACATGGGGTCACCAACAACTACACAGAGGGTCTTGAGATGATTTCCATAAATCAAAATAAAATAGAAAAACAATTGCTGAAGCTATATTTCTAGTATAATTGTTATAAAAAACTGAATTTAAGTGTCATGAATGAATATAAGTGAGTATGAGCAGAGGCTTATTAGTTATTTAGCTTCTAAAACATGTTTGTATCATCAAATCAGAGACATCTGGGGTCGCATGTGTTGACTGTTCCTATTTTCTGTCTGAAGCTGAAAACTTTGGGAACCACTGGGTTATAGTGTTTCAACTGTATGAGTTATATGTGAATTATTTGTGGAAAGACTTCACTTAATATTTATGATAATAAAGAATGACAGGGACTTAAATGCGATATGAAGAACTTGGTGTGTTCTATACTTTTTAAACATATCTAAAAGATTTTTCAACATAACGTTCTCTTTACTTTACTTCAGCTTCAGTCTGAACAGTTTAATGAAAACAAACTCAATTCTTTCTCAGTAATTTCTCAGTAAATGATAATATTCTGGTTAGTTTAGTTTTTATCAGGAAAAAAATGTCTCTTTCTGTAATCTCAAGGCAATCCCCCGCATGGTTCTGTCATAATAAGATTAAACATTTTCTGTTGTTAAAAAATAAACAAATAAAAGAGCTTGCTGATACAACAGGAAAAAATACATTAAAACTGAAATCCATCCATCCGTCCGTCCGTCCGTCCGTCCGTCCATCCATCCATCCATTTTCAGACGCTTATTTGGAGTTGGGTCATAGGGGCAGCAGTCTAAGCCAAGAGGCCCAGACTTCCCTCTCCCCAGTTACTTGGGCCAGCTCCTCCAGGACATCCCAAGGCGTTCCTTGGCCAACTGAGAGACATAGCCCCTCCAGCGTGTCCAGGGCCTTCCCTTGGGCTTCCTCCCAGTTGGATATGCCCGGAAAACCTCACCAGGGAGGCTTCCAGGAGGCATCCTGATCAGATGTCTGAGCCACCTCAACTGGCTCCTCTCAGTGGGTCTACTCCGATCTCCTCCCGGGCGACTGAGCTTCTAAACCTATCTCTAAAGGAGAGCCCAGCCACCCGGTGGAGAAAACTCATTTCGGCCGCTTGTATCCATGTTCTCGTTCCTTCTATCACTACCCAAAGCTTGTAACCATAGATGAGGGTAGGAATGTAGATCAACTGGTGAATCGAGAGCTTTGCCCAGGGGTCGGCAACCTGTTCCCATCAAAGAGCCATTATTACCCGTTTCCCACAGTAAAGAAAACACTGGGAGCCACAGCAGCCGCAGCGTTGTGGGCGGGGCCTACCCTCAGACAGCAGAGAGCTGCTTTAACCAATCACAACAGGTGACAGCAGCCGGTACCGGTCGCTCGTGTTACTGAGCAGGTGCCACTTTTGCCATACATTTCTTTTTAAAACATGTTTAGACTGTTCAGAATACAAATCCAGGCTCTGTCACGTTTGATTGTTGGAATTAAACTTTGTAGGTGGGGAAGGTCAGCAAAGGATCCAATCTATTTGTTTTTCCCTCATTTACAGTGACGGAGACAACAGCGCAGTGCGCCTGGCTCTGGTGTTAATCAAGTTAAATTATATCTCTTTGTAACAATATTCACAAGAAAACAGAACAGTTAAAAGCAGGACTTGTGTTGACCGGATAGTTCCCGTATTTGACCATTTATTTTGACGGAGAAAGAATAGAAAGAATTACCCTGACGTAAGCAGACAAACTGACATTTTATTCGTTATGCACATCGCAGATGTAGCTAAATCACTCAAGAAATGATTCCCATCTGAACATCTGCGCTGGACATTGCTCAGCGCAGCTCGCTGTCAGCTCGTACGTAAGGTGCACAGCGAGCTGAAGATGTGGAGAGGGGCTAGGAGAGCGTCGCAGAACCAGAGCGCATGCGGGAAGATTCCTCCGACTGAAGCAAGACTTGTCAGTTAGAAAATGTTCCCTGACTATGAAACTTTGGCTGAATAACGCTTGTTCCCGTCTCCAATGTGGCGACACGTCCAGGAGCCTGTCTGAGGAGAATCCCAGAATCTCACATCCTCTTCAGCTCAGAATGCGCCTATGATTACGCACAAGCGTGACCCGTCAACCCGGTCTCACAGTAAGACCGGGTTGGAACTGTTCAGGTTTACGCAGACAATCTTTACATTTAAAACTGGCTTACAGATGTAAAATTAATGTAGTTAAATATAAAGCATTTTATTTAAATATCCATTCATTATTTTACAAGTACAGAGAGCTGCATCAGATGGATGGAAGAGCCGCATGCGGCTCCAGAGCCGCGGATTGCCGACCCCCGGTGTAGGCTATCAGATTATATGACTGTAGAGGGGAGCCTGAAGAAAGAAGTTTAGAACTTAGAACATTTTTTTAAAATGCAGCATGCTTGAACGACACTCTTAAAGATGGTCTTCTGCACCTTAGTCTCAGGTAAATATCCACCATTAACACAGCTCCACTGGTGTACCTTCAAAACGAATAAACTTCAAGACAAAAAAAACATTGTGCCTGTAAAAACAGCTTAATACACAACAATAATTGTGTGCAACTTGTCTTTTAAATAAGAGAGTTTTGTTCATGTGACACATTATGATCCAAAAAAAAAAAAGAAAAAGATTATCTTTTAATATGATCATTTGGCACTTTCTGGCTTCCATACAGTGAGGCATGAGCACATTTGCGCATGTATGCGCAGTCTTCTTGTCACACTATCACTGAATACAATCTTTATATGCTTACATATTAACACCAAAACATGTAAGCCTGTGAGACAAACATCGTGACTGAATCAGATTTTTGCCGCTTGGTTGTGCGCTCGCCGCTCAAACGCTGAACAGCGAAGTAGGGGGAGGGAGAGGAGGATGGGAGGGAGGGAGGAGGCTGTCAGAGCTGCGCATCTGTTTGAGAGGAGGAGAGGAAGGGAAGAAACGAGCAGGTCAAGATGAGGACCGCGGCAGCAGCGACGCTCAAATCCAGAGTAAGATGGCAAAAGACAAATGAGAGGATGACACCGACCGATGAGGCATGAAAGAGAAGGCACGGGAGTCGCGCTGCAACGCTCCAACATGGACGCGTAGCGACAGCAGCAGCACACGTTAGAGGAGATCATTTCATTGTAGCCCTGCAGCATCATCCGTCCAACCTGAGCGGGGAGGAGGCAGAGATGGGCTCCCAGGTTGTGCAGACCCTGCGCCAGGGAGTGTGGGCATCCCTGACCGGGGGATGGTACCACGACCCGGACCAGAACAAATTCAACAACTGCTGTCATCTATATCTGTGGATATTTCTGCTGATGTTGCCTTTGTCGCTCCATCTGGTGAGTTTTCATGGAGGAACATGACGTTCAAGGCCGCGAAGGTGCGCTGCATGTGCAAAGACAGCTTCATCTCCATGCGCTGGTTCGCATAAAAACATTTACCACAATGTGACACAATTGTGATGCTGCTGCACGGAGATGCGGGAATAGAAACACAGGGCACTGTCGCAGCGTTCTCCTGGCATGCAGCGATGGGACGCATGGCTGCTCCTGGATGTGACAGTGGTGGATGAGACTGGTGGATTACTCTCATGTCAGGGCCTTTGAGAGAGGGGCGTAAAACAACTTTAAAGCAAAACAGCTGAAACTGTGATGAAATGAGCAGATGTTTCCAGATGCAGCAGTAAATCACCCTTCAATGAAAGTTTTGAGTTGTGTATTTTTGCTCACGACAGAACGAGAAAAGATTAGAAGGAACATTTAAATATTTAAAATTATTTATTGAATATTTTTGCATGCAACAGTCAAGCATTCTGAAAACTTTACTCTGCTGTAAACCTGTGCTAGTGGACTTCCAAAACTGACTAATTTCATTCCCAGAAAAGTGTGACTCACGTATCAGCATGATGCAGATGCTTAAATCCCATTGCTGTGAGCCTTTCCTCTCTTTGGAATGAGAAAACTTCAATAATCCCGCACCAACGTATCAAATCAGATCTCGCGGCTCCCTTAGATTGTAACACTGTGGCTATTAGACCAGAAAAGAAATGCAGATTTTCAGGACTCCACGCTCATTTTGCATCTCTCCTCCACAGGCCCTGCCTCCCACTGCCATGGCTTTGAGCATCTACTGCACTTCCATCACTGTCTTCTTCATCCTCATCAAGCTGGCCAACTATCGGCTGCACACGATGTTTGATGAGGGAGAGGTGGTGGTCCGCAGCCTGTCCGACCTCAGCAAGGCTCAGGAGAAGAAGAGTAATGCCTCCGACTCCTGCTTGCCGGCCAACATCAGGTAAGGAATGCATTTAATCCTAAAACACAAAATCAAGGCTGAATCAGAAGTAGGAACAACACTATTGACCCTCCTGTTTCCAGTTTCTGCTGATCATTGTGGAATCAAAGCCATCGGACCAAAACTGACCCAATTTTTCAGCACAAACAAACATTTGGGCCTTAGCTCCCTTTATAAATGCAAATTTTGACTTTTTAAATATTTCTTATTTTATTAACTTCACTAGAGTGCATATTTGAAATGACAAAAGATGCTTTAAGCTTAATTTCTTTGCTGATGCTATCTTTAGTATCCGTTTGCTGTGACAATCTGCTTAGAAATAGATCAAAACAATCCATCACTTCTTCATTAGTCCTCACCGCGGAAGGTGAAACCTGCTTCATGTTTCACCTTCATTTAAATTTCAAGTCATGGGAGACGGATCAGACGATTTGCTTTGAAAGTGAAGTTCTGACATGTGAACTTCCACAACTGCACCTCTGAGGTCTATTTCCTCACATCTTTCATTTTGTTCAAACAGAAAGAGCAGCACAGTGCCTGACAGTGTTGCTATGACGACGCTGACTCGGAAGCGCCTCAGTCCAGTGATCCAGGTGACGATGAAACAGACTGAGACCGACCCAGGACTGATAGGAGCGGTAAGTGTAGATGGGCAGTATGAAAACTCTCTGCTGACCTGTGTTATGTTTACATTTGAATATTGTTTTAACTTGCTTTTGTTTTTTGTTTTTTTGCTCCCTACAGCACAACTCAAAGTCAGATGAGGTGAAAACTGCAGAAGGTAATGTTGATCTTTCCTAAAAAAGGGAAGATGATTCTCCATTAAGCTTATAAATCTTTAGAAAGTCGTCTAAACTCAGATGGATTATTGTTATCAGGCTGAAAACTGTTTTTGTTGTAGAGCAGATGAATCAGAGAAAAGTATCATAGTTACTGTTTGGCATTTAGTTTTCAACTTTCTGAAAAGGCAACTCAAAAAGACAATACTGCCATTTTTATGATTATGTTTTATGAATTCACCATGAAAATGAAAACTGCTTCACGATTTGTAGCGTTAGAGCAGTGTTTCCCAACCCTGGTCCTCAGGTCACACTGTCCTGCATGTTTTCCATGTTACCCTGCAGCCACACAGCTGACTTAAATGAATGAGTGATCAACAGGCATCTGCAGCACTTGATGTTCTCCTGAGGAGGCATGGAAAACATGCAGGACAGTGTGCCCTGAGGACCAGGGTTGGGAAACACTGAGTTAAAGATGAAAACATGTCTGGGTTTCTTTGTCTTAATATTTACTGGATTCAATTTATTCTACATGCAAATAAAATGTAGTCAGTACAATAGAAGGATAGAAAGAAAAGCATCATTTTAGTAAGTGCAATTTTTTCTTTATATAACAATGCAAAAGAGAATAAAAGGAGCACTTGCAGTACTTACAGCCTCCACTAGAGGGCACATGTTTGGATTATATTGGAAACAGCAGGTTTTCTAGGAAAGTACTAATATTCTTAGAGAGGTAGAAGTCTTCAAACTTAGAAGTATCAGATGTGCTATTCTGTAATATTGGGTGAAAGCTCTCCAGTTTGTTATTGCATACTGATTGGTGAGTACTTGGAGGTGTGGACTCGAGTCACATGACTTGGACTCGAGTCAGACTTGAGTCATTATTTTAATGACTTCAGACTTGACTTGATAAAATCTATAAAGACTTACGACTTGACTCATAGTTGAACGCCAATGACTTGCAAATTGAATCGACTTGCATCTGTTGACTTGATGATGACTTGAGAAGACGTGGACAAAAATCATAAATAATTCTTCATTATGGGTTTGATCTTGTTCTGCTAAACGCAGCAGCACTTTGTTTACAATCAGTTTCAGCTGCACTTTCTGCTTGTTTGAGCAAATAAATTAAGCTTTAAGAAGGTTTATTTCTGGAATTTATTTCTTATCATTGCCATTAAATAGAAGTTGGACAGATGACTTGATATTGACTTGAAAATTCAAAGTTAAGGACTTGGACTTCCACATCATTGACTTTGGACTTGACTTGGACTTGGTTGTCTTTGACATGGACTTGACTTGAGATTTGACTGGAAAGACTTGTGACTTACTTGTGACTTGCAAAGCAGTGACTTGGTCACACCTCTGTTAGTACCTTTACACAGATTTAAAAAAATAATAACAGTAACTGACTTTTGAGGTAGATTTTAGCAGCTGGGTGTGCTTCATGGCAGGTCTTGCAGCTGAAGGAGAATTGGAGAATACAAAACAGAATTCGTGTGGGATTTTTTAGACACAAATATTGCTGATTTATAGAGAGGGAGAAACATCTTGATTTCATAGTTTTATAATGAAAATATGCACCTAAAATATTAATATGTACAGAGCATGAACAATGTGTTGTAATGACTAGGATGGAAGTGAACATATTCCTAATTTAATCAACGTTTTCTTTTCACTTCAGGACAGGGTGAGACTGCTGCAGAAGAGAAGTGTGCAGAAGGAGGCCTCCAGCCAAACACTGAACTTTCCCCAGATGACACCTCCAGCCTCAAACCAGAGCAGGATGCTCCACTGCTGCAGGCCCAGCAGAGGCCCCCGCCTCGAGATGAAGGGGAAGACTCGTGTCCTGGATCTGCTTGTGGGACAACAAAACTACACGCCCCAGAAACCGGAGCTGTCACAGAAGGAGCGGACGTTCAGAATTCTTCAACAGGGAAAGTAGATCAATTGGAGGAAAGGAGGAAATCGGAGAAAGACTCGGAGCAGGACGGAACAGAGGAAAAAGAAAATAAAGAGTCAGCAGATGGGGAGACAGCTGATGAAGGTTTGCCACCTTCAAGGGGGAGTGAAGATGAGAGTGAGAGCAGTAAAGGCTCAAAGGAGTCCTCAGGTGCCAACAACAACTCAGTGGACTCTCCGAAGGACGACCAGGATGAGTATATTGACATCCCAGAGTTTCCACTGGTAGGATTTGCAGACAAATTAAAAGTTTGATTGAACGTGTTGTAATAATTTGAACATTCTGGACCAAAGTCAGCTCTTCCTTCATTCCTTGTATCTCAGGCTGAGCCAGTGGAGGAGCCATACTGTTCTGATGAGATCGAGGTGGTTCTGGTGGACAACTCTAGCTCTGGATCTGGTTCAGCCCATTTGGACGACAGCGACACAGTCAAGATCATAATAACAATGAGCTGTGACCCTCAGACAGCTGCTCGGTTGGAGGGAAGTGTCAAACAGAGCCTTCTGGAGAATGCACAGGTCAGACAGAACCGCTTTGAGTTGCTTTCAGGAGAGGACACTTTACATGTCAAATATGCTTCTGAGAAAACGTACCCACCCCTTAAGAATGTCTTCATTTTTTTCAACACTTAAATGTTTCAAATCAGCAAACAAATTTCAAATTCAGACAAAGATCACCTGAGTGAATACAAATATGCACAATGAAAGATTTATTAATGGTAATTAGTCACTCACCTCAGATTTGTTTTAATGTAGCCTAATTGGTGAGTCTTCCAGTTTTAATGGTTAGGGTGGGTGACTGGTCTAAGGTCAAAGGTCAGACATTCTCCTTTCCTGTTGAATTCATGGTTCCATCAAGTACAGCAAGTTATCCATGTCCCTAAAGCAGCAAAGCAGCCCCAAACCCTCACACCACCACCACGTGTTGCTGTTTTACACCAGATGTCCTGGGACACACACCTTCCAGAAGGTTCCACTCATCAGTCCACTTTATATTTTTACTGAAGTCTTGAGCACCATCAGGATGATTTTTGACTAACTTGAGTTGGTCCTTTGTGCTGTTTTTGGTCAGCGGTGGTTTTAGCCTGGGAACTTCCACCACTGGTGCCATTGTCTTGTTGGATCATGACGTGAGGTCTGCAGCAGAGCTTACTGGGGATTTCTGTGTTCTTGGATTACTTGAGACTGTGTTGCATTCCAATCTTTTATTCTACTTTATTGTGAATTTCGTTGTATATGCCAGAGCCAAATGGAAACTTTAATCTTCAAAGACCCTTGGTGCAGCATACAGTAACAGAAAAGATCAGCAACAAACAAGCAGCAACATATAGTGCCTGGCCAAAAAATAAAAATAAAAAGTTGCCACCTGGATAAGCAAACAGGTAAAAGACTCCTATTAGATGATTTCAGTGTGGGCAATTATCTTTCAGCTGGCAACAACATGTGATTTAACTCCAACTGGTGCAATGAGTTGCTTTTTATTTCTTAAGGTGCTTTTATTTCATAGCTATGACACTGGTGACCTCTGGGAATGAATATATCTGACTGGTTGAGATGGAGGCAGGTGAGTGAAGGTCTAGTCTAGAAGAAAGTTCAGCTGTCTCCAAGCTTGGTGGTTGAAGTTGTTCTGAAGCCTTCAGGTTTGGAGGCTCTTCAGCCTCCTTTCTGAGCAGGCTGACGAGGCCCCAGACAGAGATTGTTGTCAGACAGGTTCTACTGAAGTGACTTCTTAAATCTATACGTAGTCAGGCCTGGGTGTGGTTAGTGACATTGAACTCACCTTTCCAAAAACTGTTGTTAATCACAGTTAAATCGTGATTTAAAAGGGAGGGCATTGGTCTTTCTACAGTCTAGGAGTGGGAGGACTGAATTTCCCCTCAACATTTATGAGAGCTGCTTGGGATCTTTTAGATATTTGTAATTTGTAAACATTCCCTCATAAAAATGATTTGAGACAAACAAAACAATGTTTTTTAAAGGGACACTAAGCAGTTTTTGCTTGGTTTTAGCACCCCCTTGTGTTTGTTAGTGAAACCTATCTCCTCGCGGTGCATTTGTCTTTTTAACACCTAATCTAACAGTTGAAACATCTCCTCAGCCTTCGTTAGTGTCTACAGGATTGATTCATCACTAGGGTTGTCACGGTAACCGGTATAGCGGTAAACCCCGGTAAAAAAGTTGACAATAAAAATAACCGTCCAGTTTTTAAAAAACTAAATTATCTCGGTGGGTTTACCGTGGCCGCGGTTTTGGTGCGATGACCCTTACCAGCCACCGTCGCTTCAGCTGAAGTTCCCGCGGCGCGCACTTTTTAGTTTGCAACGGCACCAAAACTTTGAAGCTGAAATAATGGCCGAAGGAGGAGACGGCAGCGCCCAGGACATCCATCAGCCCTCAAAGAAGACTAAATCGGAAGTATGGGCATATTTTGGATTTCTGAAAAATGCTGAGGGACAGTTAATAGAAGACTGCTATCCCGTTTGCAGAACGTGCAGGAAACAAGTGTCTGCAAAAGGCAGCAACACTTCGAATCTCATGGCACATCTGCGTGACCATCACCCACGTCTCTACAGCCAGTGCAAGGTAAGTTAACATTAGCATTTTAGCTTAAATGCATGACGTGAGGACTTTTGGCTGCGGGAGAATGCAACGAGTTACTACTGTATATACTGCAGCCGCAACGTCCTCTGCCAGCATTTAAACCGTGTCACGGACACCCTGTTGCTGGATGAAGCATCTTATTTGTTGATGATGAAGAGAAATATACAATTTGTTCCTTGTCATTGATTTGTTTACTTATTCAATGTCATTTATACTTGAACGTTTGGATTTGATTACATAGTGTAGTAGTTATTTTAGTAATTTGTTTAAAGTGGCTATTTATTTTAAATACATATTTTTTTAAGGTTGACTTGTACAGTGCTCAAGTCAAGTGTGGACTGGAGTTTTAGATTTTCATTTTGATAATGAAGAAAACAAGTATATGAGAAAACAAGTGGTGTTTCTTTGATTTGTTTACATATTGTTTATATTTTGAATGTTTGGATTTGTATAATTTAAACCTGCACTGACTACTGTAACATGTTCCAGAAAAATAAGCTATTTGTTCCTTTACTTGTGAAAAGTTGCACTTTTGCTAAGGCTTTGTGTTATTTTAGGTTTAATAAATACTGTTAAACCTTTTCAGAACTATTTCAGTTTGTGTAGAACAGGACTATCAATGCTTTCTGAACATATGCAACACCGTTTAAAAAATACCGCGATAATACCGAAAACCGTGATAATTTTGGTCACAATAACCGTGAGGTTAAATTTTCATACCGTGACAACCCTATTCATCACTAAATCAAACAAATCAGTTGTGTTCATGATCAGGAACATGCAGGAAACGTGCTGGAAGCAGGCGGCAGCGCCAAGCATGTCAGCACCATTTTACTAAGACTTAACAGTGGGCGGCCTGGCACTCTGAAGTTGCAAGTGCGATTTTCTGGCCAGAGGGTGGTGGGGGACTGAGTGAGATTTCATTAGCCCTAAAAGTGGTCATTTTAGCACATACTGGCTCAAGAAAATGATTTAAAAATATGAAAAATTTGCATAATGGTTTCATATACATGCCTTCCAGAATCTTGAAAAATGTAACTTGCAAATATGTTATCTTTAAAGGTGAGTGTACGTAAATGGTCTCACTGTGTTTCACTCCATGCTCAGAAAGATGCAGGGGAATGTCACATCATGATCCCCGTCATCACCTTTGACTCCCCCGAGAAGGTTGGGGGGGAGGGTGCAACTGGCTCGGAGGACGACGACCCCATGCCAAAACAGCAGCTGACCATGAGCCAAAGTGAAGAGTTTCACTTATGTAGGGAAACCACCAGTTCAGAGTCCACCATACTGGAATGCCCAGAACCAGACCGGGAGCATTGTGGGCCACACATGACCTCTGACAGCACACCGAGTCCACAGCTGATGAATGACAACAGCTCGTCAGGCATCGATGTCCATTCCCACCCTGATGACATGGATCCTCTGGATCCTAAAGAGGATTCACAAGGATTTCTGCGTCTCCCACCAGCTATTGGGCGCTACGGTCCGGACGGAAGGACCCACATCCGAGGTCTGAGTATGGACAGCGGGAAAGATCTTCTGTCAGAGCGCTCACATAGCACAGTACGTTTAACTCAATTGTTACATTTGTGTCTTTGTTATGTGTTTAACCTTTCACCGTTAAAATGCACTCACACACATTTTACCTTTTATCAGACCACCATGACCAGCTCCAAATCTGATCTGGAGGCAAAAGAGGGACAGATTCCCAATGAATCCAACTTCTTGGAGTTTATAGCCCTGTTAGGATCCATCAGTATGAGAGGGGGAGGTGCCAGCATGCAGGAAGAGGAGGTGAAAGAAAACAAAGAGAAATCCGACGCCAAAGAGGAAGGTTTGACCATCATCCTTATCATGCAAAGATTTAACTTGTGATTAATTCTTTGGTTTTGGTGTTCATAATCATCAACAAGGCAAATATTTCCTGCTAATCATTGTTGGTTGTACCTTAAATGTATTAATAGATTATTGTGACTTTTTAGCCTAACTGGACTGAAAAAGTTATTGTTGAAAGCTCGCTTTTGTAAAAGCAGATCAGACCAGCAGTTCCTGAGGTCAGGGTCACTACCTCACTGGAACATGACACGTCTAGCTTTATTTGTTACATAGAGATAGAAACAGAAGCTGTAAAGCTAACGTACATGTCAGTGTATCCTTAATATGATGGAAACAAACACACAAGATTCTGTCAAATGTATTTGGGTTTGTTTGTGTTCAGAGAGCCAGAGTACAAGTCCCGGGCCAGATGCAACAATAACAGAAACCAACTGTGAGAACAAGTCAGAGCGACCCAAACCACCCATCAGTCTGCCAACGAACACACCGCCGGCTTTACCGCCCACACACATCCCCATAGTCTCTCCTGAAAGGTGAGCATCCATCTACAACTCCATGTTTCTATGCTGAAAAGTTAATAGTTTATTTTTAGGCTCGTGTGAAGCACATATGTGGATAATAACTATTAGCAGTTTCATTTCATCTATTTTTTTTTGCAGTCCACAAACAGACAGAGAGAAAGACCCAGACTACGACTCCCTGCCTTCACAAACATCTCAGTCTGAGAGCTCCATGCTGCAGGTTATCTGCAGACCTGAGGCTACCAACAAAGAAGAAGCCTACACATTCCACACCGTTCACAGTAAGTACCAACGTGTACAGCCATCACACGCGGCATGTTAAATGACATTTTCCTGGAAGGCTCCAAAGTTTTAGGCTTGAAGTCAGGGGGGGTCCAATCCTGGTCCTGGAAAGCCTGTGTAGGAGCCAAATATGTTGTTTTCTTTTCTTTGGTCTCGATGTCTTAATTGATATGTGGGCGTGTCATTGTTACTGGTCGGAATAAAGGTAGTGATGTCATTGTTGGTGTCAGGCACTATTCCGGAAGGGCAAACAGGTTTTTGACCGCTGTGGCGTGAAGACGTTTGAATGGGAAAGTTAGCAATTACTCCTATCATTCACCTGGAATGCAATCAACATTAAACAAGCATTATCATAACAATTCCACGCTTAAGGCTGTTTTTTACGTAATTTAATCAGTCAACATCGGATCAACACAGAGCGTCAACCAGGTCCCGGTCTAGCAGCCTCAGGAGTTTGAGTACTGGACTTGACTTCTACAGCCTGTATCTAGCATGTTTTAGTTGTTTCCCTGCTCCAGCACACTTGGTTCAGGGGTAAATCGCTCATCAAGGTCTACAGAAGTATGTTGATCACCAGCGGATTCAAATCAGTTGTGCTGGAGCATGGAAACAACCAAAACATGCTGGATTCCGGCCCTCCAGGACCAAGATTGGGACCCTCTGCTTTAAGTGAATTGCACCTAGCAGTTTTTGCTCATTATGTATCTGATGAGGAGATGCTTGATGATGATAATGATGCTGTCTTGTCAGGAGACAGACCTCGAAAGCTGTACGCAGAGAGAGCCCTCAACCTGCCGCTAGGAGCGGAGCTCATCACAGGAAACATGTGGTATGCCAGCAAAACCATTTGTTCTCTTCTGCTTTCCTGCTTTTATTTATTTACCTCTGTATTCTGAAAGTCCAATAAACTTCTTTTTTTTCATTTTATCTGTGGTGTGTGTGTGTGTGTGTGTGTGTGTGTGTGTGTGTGTGTGTGTGTGTGTGTGTGTGTGTGTGTGTGTGTGTGTGTGTGTGTGCATCTTCAGTGACCTGCTGTCAACCTCTTCAAACTCAGAGGGACATGATGGCATTGCAGGCGGTCACATTGACTGTCCTTTCCAGAGACGCATCATTCCTGCACACAGGCTGCGACCACGAAGGACACACCCAGAAATATTTCAGGTTTCCACAAACCACGATCATCTAGAAGAGCACCATGACATTTACCTTCTCAGTGGCCTAGTAGTAGAGTGTCCACACTGGAATTGGGGCATCAGGGTTCAAATCCCGGTCAGGTCATGCCAAAGACTTTACAAAAGGGACCCAATGCCTCTCTGCTTGACACTCAGCTTTAAGGGGTTGAAAGAGGGGTTAAACCACCAAACAGTTCCCGAGCACAGCCACTGCTGCAGCTCACCGCTCCCCATAGGGATGGGTCAAATGCAGAGATGAATTTCACCAGTGTGTGATGTCTAATGGGACTTTGATCTTTAACTTAAAAGTTTTTTTTTCTCTTACTAATACATAGGTGTTACAATGGTTTTTTTTCCAGGAAGAAGACTCCTTGGACGAGTCATCTGAGACGTCCACGCAGGAGAAGCCAACCAAGAAAATTTATTACAAACTCCAGTTTTTTCCTGGAAAGTGGATCAACATTTTATATGATAGACTAACCCTGCTTGCGCTTTTGGACAGGTAATCAGTGTGTGTATGTGTGTGTGAGTGAGTGAGTGAATGAGAGAGAGAGAGAGAGAGAGAGAGAGAGAGAGAGAGAGAGAGAGAGAGAGAGAGAGAGAGAGAGAGAGAGAGAGAGAGAGAGAGAGAGAGAGAGAGAGAGAGAGAGAGAGAGAGAGAGAGAGAGAGAGAGAGAGAGAGAAAGAGAGAGAGAGAGAGAGAGAGAGAGAGAGAGAGAGAGAGAGAGAGAGAGAGAGAGAGAGAGAGAGAGAGAGAGAGAGAGAGAGAGAGAGAGAGAGAGAGAGAAGCTCATACGGCCTTTGCATGGGCTGTTTTTCATAAGAAACCAGGACGTTCTGGAGAATCTGGTTGCAGTCTTCATGGCCTTCCTAGTTTCCTTTTTGGGATTTGTTCTTCTCAACCATGGCTGCTTCAAAGACTTCTGGGTTTTCCAGTTCTGCCTGGTCATCGCCAGCTGCCAATATTCCCTACTGAAGGTAATCTTTGCAGAAATTGATGGTTGCCACAATTGGGAGATGTTGTCTAATGACATTTTCAGCAGAGGGTTTAATTATTTGATGGAGGCTTTTCATTCAGTTTTGATGGAAAACCAATGAAATATATATGGGAAAAGATCTGGAACTGTGTGTGTGTGTGTGTGTGTGTGTGTGTGTGTGTGTGTGTGTGTGTGTGTGTGTGTGTGTGTGTGTGTGACACAGCTGCTTCACTATATCATTTTATATTCCACCACCTGTAGCTCACCACTCGTCTCTGTGGGTTTGTTTTCAGAGCGTTCAACCAGATGCGGCATCACCGACACATGTGAGTTTGTGTTTAATACTTTTATATGTCAGACAAAAATGATCCTGGAAATACATTCATGCCATCCACTTTATTAGTTTAATTTATTGTGATGCTTAATTATGCAGTTTTCCTTGTTAAAATCAGGCTGAATTCCAGTATCTGACATCCATGTGTGTGTGTGTGTGTGTGTGTGTGTGTTTGTGTGTGTGTGTGTCTCCAGGGCCACAACCAGCTGGTAGCTTACAGTCGAGCAGCTTTCTTTTGTATTTTCTGTGCTCTGATTTGGCTGCTGGAGCAGCTTCTGAGGAGGAAGGACCTGCCCGTTTCTACTTTTTATGGTGTTACCATCATCTGTTATGATGTCCTGCACTTCATACGTGATCTGCTAGTGGGTAAGGACAACAACGTGCAACATTGATCCACCTGCTCTTATGCATTGGTTGTTTTAAATAATTTTTCTTTGGAAGAAACAGTAAGAACTTTTATTTTTTCCTCTCTAAAACAGGTTTTACCTACTGTTTCCCAATCACCTTCCTGGTGGGCCTTTTCCCTCAGATCAATACCTTTACCATCTACCTGCTGGAGCAGATCGACATACACTTCTTGGGAGGAACAGGTTGAAAATAATCATTTACGTATTTTAATTTCTGAAATATTTCTGTAAATAAGTCTAGATCCTAGAATAATGATTTTGTGGCTTTCTTTCTTTAAAATATGAATATTTTAAATAAATAATGTAATATTTTAGTATTAATCTTTACACATCTTATCATAACTCATTGTTAAGATTTAAAGTCTCAAAGTCCCAGCTCTAAGCTGGGACGTGGTTTACTGGAAATCATAATCAGCAAAATGGTTAAAAAAATAATTCTACCTGACCCTAACCCTAACCCCAAAAGGTGTACAAGTTTACCATGAATCCTATTCTTTTCAACTGAACAGAGGATTCTTTTGTAGTTTTGAAAATGACATTTTTCAGTTTTATTGTTAGAGTTTCAGAATGGGGTTTAAGTCTAATATAACATGGACGACTTTTACCTGACGTGTGTGTGTGTGTGTGTCTCAGCTGCCACGAGTCTCATCTCGGCAGTTTACAGCATTCTCCGCAGTCTGATCGCTCTGTCTCTGCTGTATGGTTTCTGCTTTGGAGCTCTCAAGGTGAGAAACAAAGGTGTGTGTGTGTGTGTGTGTGTGTGTGTGTGTGTGGGAGAGTGTTTGTGTGTGTGTGTGTGTGTGTTTTGACACTGAAAACTTGTTCTTTGACATAATGTATTTGATTTTTCTTTACTAAAAATACACCAGCAAAAAATTCAGCTCCCTAAATTTATTTGCAGATTTTCATCTTTAAAAATTCAACATCATAATTTGACTTTCATTACAACTTTCATTACGTAATGTTTTTAAGTAAAACAATAAATGTTTATGTGACTCAATTTGAAGTTGTCCAAATGTTCATCAGTTAATGCCCGTAGAACAAACCAGCAACCTCTTTGGATCCAGGCAGAATTCATGAGTATAAATGAATACCACCACAGTGGTAGAAGTGAACATTTCAGGGCTTTACTTACATTTAACAGGAGTTACTTTGGGTTAAATAAAATGGTTAATGTTGTTCAAATAAAACAGTAAAACTTGTTAAAGTAAAACTGCTAAATGGTTTAGTTTATCCTTAAGGCTTAAAGGGGTTTAAATGGAGGAAAGCTGACACGGCCTTCCTTCTGAGGCTTGTAGCACAAAAAATTTAATACCAACAGCAAAACCGAAGACATCACTTCGAAGCGGACAAAATAACCTAACGAATTGGAGAATATCCTTATTATACTATAAAAGATGTGGTCGGTGGACATTTTTGTTTCAAGATTTCATAAATCATGCAGTTAACAGTGCTCAGCAGCTCAGATGTCATGTCAGAGTTCTGGATGTCTCATCACCATTCAAAAACCGCCGCATCGATTGGAAAAATTCTAAAAGCCTGACTGGCAGAAGGCTTTGGTGGTCATCTGTGTGAAGTCTTGTGTGCCTACCATTAATGTTCTAGAAGCTATAGGGAGAACATTTCAGCTATCTGTCAGCCACAGGAGCCTTTTTTATAAGAGGTTTAAATGGAGAAAAGCTGGCACAGTCCTCTTTCTGAGGCGTGTAGCACAAAACCGTAATACCAACAGCAACACCGATGACAACACTTCGAAGCGGACAAGATAACCTAACGAATTTGATAATATCATTAGTGTACTATAAAAGATGTGGTCGGTGGAAATTTATGTTTCAGGATTTCATAAATCGTGCATTTAACAGTGCTCAGCTGCTCAGATGTCATTTCAGACCTCTGAAACATCTCATCACCATTCAAAAACTGCAGCCCGATTGAAAAAGTTCAAAAAGCGTAAGCGGCAGAAGGCTTTGGTGGTTTTCTGTGTGAATTTTTGTGTGCATACTTCGAATTGTCTAGAAGCTATGACGAGAATATTTTAGCTGTCTGAAGCCGATCGGAGGATAAAATCTCAGTTTCTTTAACGTGTTTCAATGATATAAAATTGTTGAAATCGTTAGAAATTTGAAGGAGTTGAAAAGGTTCAAATAGTGTTCGGACGCACTATAAGCATTCAAACAATTATGTGACAGAAATAGTCGAAACACAAGTAATTATTTTTCATTTAAAATTAAAAACAACATATGTGTGATTCAGTGTGAGGCAAAGCAGGTTATAAAAAAACTGTTATAGCCCCGTTCACTTACATTGATTATTATTCGGTCAGGGGACCCATGAGCCGACCGGAAGGGGAGGAGACTTAGGCATAGGCAGCTAGGGGTGTCTAATGTAGAATACCAAGTCTGTGAGAAATGTCTCATTCTGAGAAAAGCTGGTTTAAACTTGGACACACACTCTTAAAGGGATACTTAGCAAAATTTTCATATTTTAAAATCAGTTTCTTGAGTCATAATGTGCTAAAATTAACCTTTACAGGGTTAATGAAAGGCCACCTAGACCCTATATCCCTTTGTGGTCAGAATACTGCATTTTCAAAAGCCTGTCTGGTCTGTTGGACTTAGTCAAGTCAACCTTTATTTATAAAGTGCATTTAAATATCAGTGCAGAGTATCCACCCTTTTTGGAGTCCCTGGGACGAGTGCTAGATAGTGCTCCATTAGGGGACTCCATTGTCCTGCTGGGGGACTTCAATGCTCACGTGGGCAATGACAGCATGACCTGGAGGGGTGTGATTGGGAGGAACGGCCTGCCTGATCTGAACTCGAGAGGTGTTTCGTTATTGGACTTCTGTGCAAGCCGCAGTTTGGCCATAACGAACACCATGTTTGAACATAAGGATGCCCATCGGTACACTTGGTACCAGGGCAGCCTAGGTTGCAGGTCGATGATAGACTTTGTAGTCGTATCATCTGACCTGCGGCCGTATGTTTTGGACACCTGAGTGAAGAGAGGAGCGGAGCTGTCAACTGATTACCACCTGGTGGTGAGTTGGATCAGATGGCAGGGGAAGATGCCGTGCAGACCTGGCAGACACAAACGCATAGTGAGGGTCTGCTGGGAATGCCTGGCAGAAGAACCTGTCAAGACGGTCTTCAACTTCCACCTCCGGCAGAGCTTTGACCGCATCCCGAGAGCAGTGGGGGACATTGACTCCGAGTGGGCCTTGTTCCACTGTGCGATTGTTGAGGCGGCTGTTGCTAGTTGTGGTCGCAAGGTGGCCAGTGCCAGTCATGGTGGAAACCCCCATTCCCGCTGGTGGACACCAGAGGTTCAGGGAGCCGTCAGGCTGAAGAAGGAGGCCTACAGGGCATGGCTGGTCTGTGGGTCTCCGGAGGCAGCAGACAGGTACTGGATAGCCAAGCGGGGTGCAGCAGTGGCAGTTGCCGAGGCAAAATCTTAGACGTGGGAGGAGATTGGTGAGGCCATGGAGAAAGACTATCGATCGGCTCCAAAGAGGTTCTGGCAAACTGTCCGGCGCCTCAGGAGAGGGAGGAAGCAACTCGCTCGCACTGTGTACAGTGGGGATGGGGAGCTGCTGACATCAACTGGGGCTATAGTTGGACGGTGGAAGGAATACTTTGAGGAGCTCCTCAATCCCACCTACATGCATTCCGAGGAGGATCCAGAGCCGAGAGACCTGGGTATGAACTGTCCAATCTCGGGGGCAGAAGTTGCTGAGGTAGTCAAACAACTACACAGCGGCGGAGCACCGGGGGCGGATGAGATTCGTCCTGGGTATCTCAAGGCTATGGATGTTGTAGGGTTGTCATGGTTGACACATCTCTGCAACATTGCGTGGTCATCGGGGGAAGTTCCTGTGGAGTAGCAGACCGGGGTGGTGGTCCCCATCTTTAAGAAGGTTGACCTGAGGGTGTGTTCCAACTATAGGGGGATCACACCCCTCAGCCTCCCTGGAAAGGTCTACTCCAAGGTACTGGAAAGGAGGGTCCGATCGATAGTTGAATCTCAGATTGAGGAGGAGCAATGTGGTTTTCGTCCTGGCCGTGGAACTGTGGACCAGCTCTATACCCTTGCAAGGGTGATGGAGGGGGCATGGAAGTTTGCCCAACCAATCCACATGTGTTTTGTGGATTTGGAGAAGGCTTATGACCGTGTCCCTAGGGGCACCCTGTGGGGGACACTCCAGGAGTATGGGGTGGGTGGCTTTCTGTTGAGGGCCATTCAGTCCCTTTACCAGAGGAGTGTGAGTTTCGTCCGCATAGCCGGTAGTAAGTTGGACCTGTTCCCGGTGAGGGTTGGACTCCGCCAGGGCTGCCCTTTGTCACCGGTTCTGTTCATTACCTTTATGGACAGAATTTCTAGGCGCAGCCGTGGTGTGGAGTGTGTCGAGTTTGGTGGCAGGAGAATCTCGTCTCTGCTTTTTGCGGATGATGTGGTCCTCCTAGCTTCATCCAGCTCTGACGTTCAGCTCTTGCTGGGTAGGTTCGCGGCCGAGTGTGATGCAGCTGGGATGAGGATCAGGACCTCTAAATCTGAGACCATGGTTCTCGACCGGAAAAGGGTGGCTTGCCGACTCTGGGTCGGGAGAGAGGTCCTACCTCAAGTGGAGGAGTTTAAGTATCTTGGGGTCTTGTTCACGTGTGAGGGTAGCAGGGATCGGGAGATCGACAGGCGGATTGGTTCAGCATCTGCCGTGATGCGAACGCTGAGCCGATCTGTCGTGGTGAAGAGGGAGCTGAGCCAGAAAGCCAGGCTCTCAATTTACCGGTCGATCTACGTCCCACTCCTCACCTATGGTCATGAGCTTTGGGTAATGACCGAAAGAACGAGATCGCGGATACAAGCGGCCGAAATGAGTTTCCTCTGAAGGGTGGCCGGGCCCAGCCTTAGAGATAGGGTGAGGAGCTCGGACATTCGGGAGGGACTCGGAGTAGAACCGCCGCTCCTCCGGATCGAAAGGAGTCAGTTGAGGTGGTTTGGGCATCTGGTCAGGATTCCTCCTGGACGCCTCCCTGGGGAGGTGTTTCGGGCATGTCCTGCCGGCAGGAGGCCCCCGGGTCGACCCAGGACACGTTGGAGAGGTTACATCTCCAATCTCGTCTGGGAACGCCTTGGGGTCCTGCCGGAGGAGCTGGTGGAGGTGGCCGGTGAGAGGACAGTCTGGAGCTCCCTAGTTGGGATGCTGCCCCCGCGACCCGGACCCGGATAAGCGGAGGAAGACGACGACGAGACAATGACATTTAAATGGCAACATTGTTATCCCAAAGTGCTGCACAACAGTAATAATAATAAAAACGTATAAAATTAAATTTAAAAGTCGACAAAGCATAAGAAAATATTAAAACTCTCAAGGAACTAAAAACCGAATATTTATCACAAGTTTAAGATAAGGTATCAGACAAAAAATTTTAAAGACATAAGAAACACCTGGGTCACTTGATTATAAAATACTCAGTCTAAAATGCCAAAGAATACAGATGTGTTTTCAAACGTGCTTTAAAAGTGGCCAGCGTGTCAGCTGTCTTTACATCCTGGGGCAGGCTGTTCCACAGGGTAGGAGCCACTACAGAGAAAGCTCTAGAACCATTGGTTTTGAGCAGAGATCTGCGTGTGGCTAACAGATTTAGATCAGCTGATCTAAGTGCCCTAGACGGGACATATGTTTGAAGATAGTCGCTCAGGTATGATGGAGCCTGCCCATGCAGACACCTAAAAACCGCCATCAAAATCTTAAAATCAATCCTGAACGATCAGAAAGCCAGTGAAGGTCTTCCAGTACCGGGGTGATATGGTCATATTTTCTTGTCCCTGTCAGAAGGCGAGCTGCTGCATTCTGAATGCTCTGCACTCGTTAAAAAGATGAATGCTCAGCGAGGAGATTGGTTTTGCTTTTGGTTCTACAAACAGACACTAGGGGCTGCTAAAAGCAAGCCAAAACTGCCAAGTTCCCCTTTAAATCTACATTTGTTAACCATCTTCAGCTTCTGCAGCTAATACATGCTGGTCACCATAATTTAACCAGAGAACAAAGCTAGCCCTAGCTACTGCAAATGCTAGCTTGAGCTGCTGCTAATGCTAGCCTGAACTACTGCTAGTGCTAGCTTGAGCTACTGCTAATTCTAGCCTGAACTATTGCTAACGCTAGCCAGAGCATTACAAACATCCTTGTTGAAAGAGAGGGAAACAACTAAAAAGGAATGTGGGAGCCTTAAGCTTGGTTTATGCTTGACGCATTTACTTTCCGCTTGGTGATGCGACTCGCGGATGGAACGCGCTTCACAACTTGTAGCGTTTATGGTTCATGCGGCTTGTCTCTGCAGTGAGCCAATATTCTCCCAAACTGAACGGGGCAGCATGGAGCTCTACGGCATGCAGGGGCGGATTAAGGACTGAAGAACATCCGGGGCTTAACACACGCACACACACACGCGCGCACACACACACGCGTGCGCACACACACATGACATGCACTAGTCAACATCATATATGTCTTGTACCACATAATTTTTAATCTGAAGCTACATATTAAGCATTTTCAGGGCAGAGTATTGTTCCTGTTAGTGTTTAGTGTGAGATGATAGTAAATATTCCCTTTCTTTCTCCAACACCTTTACTTGATAGTAAGCTAACTTTAGGCAAACCAGCAGCACAACAAATATTTTCAAATAAGACTCACAAACCTGAGTCAACACCAGTCTCATCAAAGCTGGGGTTCTGTCGTTATACTTTTTGTCTAAAAAACGTCCTTATGTCCATCTTCACTCATGGTTTCAGGCAGAGTGTAGAAGAAGCCGGCTGCTGAAGGGCTTCTTCTTCAGTGGTGGAGGCTCAGGCAGGCTGTATACAAACTACTGCCAGCTGCTCCCTCTCTGTTGGACTTTGGTACTGCATGTTACTTCCGCAATTTAGATCCGGGGCTTTCCATGAAACATCCGGGGCTTCAGCCCAAGTAGCCGGGCCTAACGCCGCCCCTGACGGCATGCATCCAACACTAAGCCGTAGTAGAAGTAAAATTCACTGTTGTTTACAACATGGCATTCCAGCATTTTTTAACAGCGTCCTCATCTTTTCCGACAGTGCGAGCTGTTTCTCTCCAAGAATTATTAACAACATGCTGATCACGGTGATCTTTGAGAGCTGAATCATTCAAATGTCTGTATTTACGAACCTCTGCCATACTAGGTCTTGCCAGTCCACCATGTTTTTCCACGTCCGACCGTCCGTGTGGTTAGAAAATTTCCTAGGTGCGCGGTGCAGAAAGTTTGGGCCGTGCGGAGTCGCGGTGGAGGGGCGTGGTTGTTAAAATGACGCAATTTTGCCACGCGGAGCCGTGCGAACCTCGCGGACACGTCAAGCATAAACCAACCTTCAATCATGGATAAATCCAGAATTTGAATGAATGCCATAAAGACTGACTGGTCTCCTCACACGGAGAACCAGACTCCTTTAATATTCCTGTCCTTGCTGAGTGGGTGGGTCAAACCAGTGTTTCCTTTGCAGGGCTTTATAATATAAATTATGGGGTTTAGTTTGGCCAGTTATCAAGGCTCAATGATAAATAGATGCTCAAAGTACCATTTCTAATCTCGAAGTAAACCCCTTCTAGGACACCTTTAAATGACCAGATGGGGAACATGTGGACCGGTTGCACTTTTAGTTACATCTGGTGAAAGAAACCCAAAAGCAGCCTTATTCACACAAACAGTGGTGTTCCTTTGTGTGTGTCAACAGGAGCCATGGGATGAGCAGCACACTCCTGCACTGTTCTCAAGCTTCTGTGGCCTTTTGGTTGTTTTCTCGTATCACCTCAGCCGACAGAGCAGTGACCCATCTGTGCTGATGTGAGTTCCTCTGCAAAGTTGTAACACATTTATTTGGTGATACTTACTCAAACGGACAGTTACACACAATTTCACTTGCTTTTTTATTCAAATGTTAAAAATGTAAATCAAAACTAAAATTTTGAATGTTTTTATGGCCTTTGCACTGATTTTTTCCCCCAGGTCTCTAATCAAGTCAAAGATCATGCCTGCACTTGTAGAGAGTGAGGAAGAGGAGGAGGAAGTGGAGGATGCAGACATTAAAGACCCGCTGCCTGAGAAACTGCAGAGCTCTATGGTGATTATCGATTAAGAAATGAAAGGATGCAGCTTTATTTATTCCCAAACACACTCCAACCAGACACAACAGCTCATATCATCTTCCAGTAATTACTCTCTATAAACCAGTATTCATAATCACTGTGTACCTTTGAGGAAGCAGATAACAAACATGGGGATGAGAGTAACAGTTTGCTGTGAGTGAATGCGGGGGTTTATGCAGCACAAGCCTCTCATGGCCTCTTAGAGTATTAGTGTGGATTGTGAAGCTCTTAACCTCCTCTGGTTGATGTCTCTTTGATCTCTGAGAAACGAAGGATCACAATTAGAAAGAAACAATTACACACCCAAATGAGCTTTTAAAACCACGTGGATTTGATTTAATAGAAGCTCTGCCTACTTCCTGAATTCTCCAGATGGAGATTCTGCTGTCGGATGTTGTCGTGTGCTCCGTTGCCTACATCCTAACCTTTGCCATCACAGCCAGCACTGTGTTCCTCTCTTTGAAGGTCAGATCCACACCTGTTTTACTTTAACTCTGAGATAAAATGTTGTGTCTAAATCCTTTCTCTTATATTCAAACTTCTGTGCAGCCTTTTGTGACCATTGTGCTGTATGCTCTGGCGGCAACTGTCGGGTTTGTGACCCACTACTTGATTCCCCAGCTCCGGAAGCATCACCCATGGCTGTGGATCTCCCATCCGGTTCTCAAAACCAAGGAGTACTACCAGTTTGAACCCAGAGGTTTGCATCTGTAGAAAGAAAAGCAAAACATTTTATTTTTCAGAAGTTCTGAACTTTATTTGCTGTTGTTGGTGTTACAGAGGATGCTGTGCTCATGTGGTTTGAGCGTCTATATGTGGGGCTCCTTTGCTTTGAGAAGTATGTGGTGTACCCCGCCATTGTGCTGAGCGCCCTTACTAATGATGGCTTTGCCCTCAGTCACCGCAAGAAGCTGGGAATCTAGTGAGTCGCCACAACCGCACACATACATCATGACTTTGGGTGCTTAAAGTAAAACTCAATAAGTTTCCCATTCGCCCCCCATTGGTTGAAAGCAGAATTACAACTGTCATAAATATCTGTGCTGCAGCCTGCTGCAGCTAATGCTAGCGGCGAGCTAACACTGACGCAGGCTACCTGATGCAAAATAATCCACAAAGTAAAAAGATCCACACTGTTGAACAAAAAATACTCATAAGTCCAGTAGCAACAAAAGGCGGGTTTCCTTTATTGGAACTTCGAGGTAATGTTACTGGAACTCCACAGCATGCACATTTCTCCAGTGGGTCGGCCAAAATGACCATCTTCTAGGCCAGTGGTTCCCAACCTTTTTCCCAAGGGACCCCTTTTTTACCAGTAAAATTTCTGACGACCCCCTCCCATTCTCTCTTCCAGTACAAACAGTATTAAGAAATGATAAAATTGTTCAAGCACATTTTAATATGCTTTGATTCAATAGATAACAGTAATAGTAGACTCCAGTACAGAACAAAGTCATTAACAAAACCAAACAGAACATAATGTGCTTGACAGTTTGTATTACTTTTCTGAACACATTGTTTCTTGTAAACACTGATAAATCAATCATTCCTTTCAATAAACGTTTGACACATAAAAAATACACTGAGCAAAATGTACTTAAATGTGTATATTACTGTTTATACTAGATTATTTACTGTAAAGGCTGTGATTAATCAACCAGTCCTACCTTTAATGAACTTTTGATACTTGAAAATAAAACAGTGAGCTGAGCAAAATGTTCTTAAACGTGTGTTACTCTTTCTGTACTAATTATTTCCTGTCTTAATATCAGTAAACTTTTCACTCATAAAAAAGTGAGCAAAATGTAGGCTATAAACAAGTAATAAATGAAGTTTTAGCCCCTTAAAGTGGAGAGGTCCTTGCGACCCACTGAGAGGCTTTGGCGCCCCCTTGTGGGGGTCGGGACTCCCAGGTTAGGAACCACTGTTCTAGGCCATTTTCAGGAACCAATGGAGTACCCGAGCTGGGTTAGGTACTTGGAATGGTCCAGTAGGGTTGCTGAGGGGAACGTTTGGTTAGCTCATGCTGATTGGTTGTAACTCAGTAGGAAGTGATATGACAAGTCAGCAAAACCAACATTTGTAAGTAAAGTACATTTTGTTTATATAGCACTTATAACAGACATAGAATCACAAAGTGCTTCAGATACTTTAGATCAAAACTAAATGAAACAAAGTCTTAAATCATAATGATCTCAAAACAGAAATAGATTAACATCAGAAAAAATAAAGTCATAAAATTATGCAATTTTATAAACAGATGAAAGATTATTACAAAATTGAGTTAAAAATAAGAAAATAAAAGGTTTAGATAAAAGCAGCTATAAATAAAAGTGTCTTTAGCTGTTTTTAAAAAGTGTCCAGACTGTCAATGCTTTGTAAGGATAAAGGAAGATCATTCCAGAGTCGGGGTGCAACAGTCTGGAAGGAGCGATCACCTTGACTTTTATATCTGGTCTTTGGAACTTCTAGAAGGTTCTGGTGTGTGGACCTGAGGGCTCGGGTTGGAGCATACGGCTTTAACAGTTCAGTAATATAGGGAGGAGCTTCACCATGTAGAGCCCTGATTCTAAAATGAACTCTAAAATGAAGTTAATGGGTATTTGTAAAATAGGACGAGTCGCTGGTGAAGCAGAATGAAAGCAAATAAGCAACGTTCATGCTGATTTAAAATCGCAGTAACTAAACTCCTAACACCAAGAAATGCTGTGGAAATCCCCTCAAAACAACATTAGTCACGGGGCTTTGTTGTCTCACAGACACTGGAAAATGATGCTTCTTCTGCTCATTGAAAGCAACATGTTACATCACACAGCTGCTCTCTCGGTCCTCTGAGTGGATACAATTATGCCGTATTTTGACAGAAATAAACTTTAAATGTTACTTACGTCTGCGAATGCTTTTTGGCGCTGATCAGTGACGTCACTCACTGCTGAAGCAAGCGTGATGTGGTGACGTTTTAGAAAAGTACTGAAAGGGCTGAAATTGTTTGGAGACGCAACAGTAGAGAAGACTGAGCTATCAGATTTCCGAGTCAGTTTCCCCCCTCCCAGAAATTTCTCACATCTCCTGAAGTGAAAATACGCCTAGCCAGGTCACCATCAGTCTGTAATTTTGGAGCCTTCTTTATCTCCCTCAAACAAGCGTAGGCCGCAACGATGTTCACTCTGTTTTTGGGTCTTGGTGTCGCTTCCAAAGAAATTACTCACCTTTACTTCCATGCTCCGCTATGATGCTAACAATATAAGCAAACCTATTCGTCTTCCTGTGCTTTTGTTGATGGTCGGCAAACTGAAAAAGCTAACTGCTAGCCTCTTAATGAGCTACCGTCACAATAAATAGCTATTGCCATAAGGTAGATCTCCCACTAGCAGGCACATGCAGAGGGGGGGACGGAGGGTGCTTGAGCCCACTAGTGTTCCTACCCAAACCAAAAAACTGTTAGGGGTTCTGTTCAGCAGAGGGCTACAGAGTGCTGTCCAATGTGAAGCTGCTCAGGTTTATGGCTCAAGAACCACTGAACTCAGTTTGAAAGCACTAGCTTAAAGTTAAAAACTTTTTTGTGTTGCTTAAACCTTATCTGCATGTTCTCTGCATTCTCCACAGCTGTGACGTCCTCCTGACGACAGTCGCTGGACTGAAACTCCTGCGTTCGTCCTTCTGCGATCCCAGCTTCCAGTTCCTCACGCTTCTCTTTACACTTGTTTTTTTCCACTTTGACTGTCCGCATGCATCCGAGAGCTTCCTGCTGGACTTCTTCATCATGTCGATCATCTTCCACAAGGTAAAATAATGAGTTCAGGCAGCAAAGGTTGGTTCTTAAAGGCTCTTGTAATATAGTGTTGGTGACATTTAAAGTAAAGAAAGAAAAACAAACCTTCCTGTTCTTGTGATCATGAGGATGAGCAGCTTGAATTTGCATTTTACTCCTGACATTAAGATTTATTGCTGACCTTTTTAAAGTAAAAGAAAACATAAGAAGGTTTTCCCAGGGTTCGGTTTGCTCATCACTTGGACTGAAGCTTCACCTGTAAATTAGGATGTTGATATTTCTGTTGCTATGAGGCTTCGAGGAACTTTTGCCAAGGATGAAAACAAAACCTTGATGGGAAAATTCAGCTATTAAAGCAAAATTAACACTAACTTCTTGTTAAAATTCTTATATATTTCCTGTAGTTTTGTTATTGTGCATGTATGTTTATCAGTATTGATCATCTGATCCAGAACATGGCGTCATATGAGGTAATCATAACCTCATACAAACATCGTGTGTGACATATTGCTCAATAGAAAAAAAAAAACAAAACTAAAGCATTGCTGCCAAAATAAAGACATTTAAAAAAACAAGTTGGTTTGACCATAAAGACTAAATGTGTAGTTTTTACCAATAATTTATGGAACTATCCATCAAAAAAGAGTTGAAAATGAATTAAATGATGCCCAGTTGTTGAAAAATATTGGCAGCTTAGTAACATATAATCATAAAAATTGGGTTTAAAATACACGGGAGTGGGTTTAAGTCTCCGGACGACGCCATGTTTTCTTCTATGGGAACCTGTGAAGACAAAAGGCATTTACTGGTTTGTAACAAGCGGTTACAAAACTTTCACCATTCCTAAACATTATTGTTTTACACATTTACCTCGTTGCTCGTTGCCAGTGATGAAAGGGAGTCTGATGTGCTTGTTATTTTGCTCACAGGGATTTTTGACCCTAATGGACATTCATTGGGAAGGTCTTACTTGAACACAAAAATACAGCTTGTTTGCAACGATTTAGGTTTGTACTGCCCTCTGTCGCTAGGAAAATACACATTTTCACTTTAAAAGGACAGTTCACATATTTGAAGCAGACACATTATCTGTTTTTGATTGGTCTTTGAGTGGCCTCAGTTTGCAGTAACAGAGCCCAACTCGCTCATTTACCCAATCAGAACTAATCTGTTTCTCCAAAATGACTAATCCTTTAATCCCTCTAGGAGAACTGTGCAATAAAATTACCTGAAGACTCTAATGAACTAAACCGAAGTTCGTTAAACAACACTGAGATGATACTGCCAAAAGTCATCCTGCACGGGTTGAATGAAGGTTTTCAACATTTGCCTTGTTGCAGATGCGTGAGTTGCTGCTGAAGCTCCATTTCATCCTGATTTACATCGCTCCCTGGCAGATTGCTTGGGGCAGCGCTTTCCATGCCTTCGCTCAGCCATTCGCCGTGCCTCGTATCCTTTCTCTAAAACTGGTCCAGATGTGTGCAGGTGCACGAGTAGCTGGCTTTTGTCCCTTGACTGATGTGTGTGTGTCCAGACTCAGCCATGTTGCTGCTCCAGACTCTCCTCACCACTGTCTTCTACACCCCGCTGGCCCCTTTCCTTGGCAGCGCCATCTTTATTTCCTCGTATCCACGGCCTATCAAGTTCTGGGAACGAAACTATAAGTAAGAGCTGTTTTTTGGGGGGATTTATCTGTTAAAGGAGTTAAATCTGTGTCTGAGCTTCAATGAAATAAGAATTTGTATTTATTTATATCCATCTTGCTGTGAGAGATTTGAGAAAACTTGTGCAAACTGGCTTCGGGGTTATATTTAGTTGAAGATAAATCTATGACAGCTTCCCCTCAGCTGGAGTCAGATGTGCGAGTTGTGGTATTTTTAGTTTCAGCTGGCTTTTGATATGGAACTTTGATTGAAATCAAAAGATGCAGTGAATAATATGTCCATGCTGTATAGTTTGTGATTTCTTTCACGCTCTTGCAGCACAAAACGTATTGACAACTCAAACAGCAGACTGGTGTCCCAGGTGGACAAGGAGACAGGTTTGTCCCCTGACTTTTCCGTCCCTTTTCATCAAGTTTGTCTTTTCATTCCCAATCTCCTTCCTTTTCCTTCCCAGGTTGTGATGATAACAACCTGAACTCCATCTTTTACGAGTACCTGACCCGCTCACTGCAGCAGTCACTGTGTGGTGACCTCATGTTGGGTCGATGGGGCAACTACAGTGCCGGCGACTGTTTCATCCTGGCGTCCGACTACCTCAACGCCCTTGTCCACCTCATTGAGATCGGCAACGGCCTTGTCACTTTCCAGCTGAGGGGTTTGGAGTTTAGAGGTACAGTTTGAGGACTTCCTCTTCTGCTCTTTGAATTTTTTTTTTGCAGCTTACTTTCTTAACCTTCTGTCCATGCCAGGTACTTACTGTCAGCAGCGAGAGGTGGAGGCCATTACAGAAGGTGTGGAGGAGGACGACGGGTGCTGCTGCTGTGAACCAGGTCACTTACCTCACATGCTGTCGTGCAACGCCGCCTTTAATCTGCGCTGGCTGGCCTGGGAGGTGATGGCCACCAAGTACCTGCTGGAGGGCTACAGCATCAGCGAGAACAACGCTGCCACCATGTTGCAAGTGTACGACCTTCGAAAGCTTCTCATCACCTACTACCTGAAGGTACGCTTGCTTTCCAGTTGGACACTACAGCTACAAAACTGACACTCATTTCTTTCTCCCTCTCTGTTCTCAGAGTATTATCTACTACCTGGTCCACTCTCCTAAACTCTGCACCTGGCTCAAAGACGCCTCCATCCAGGAGGCGCTGCAGGCCTACACCAAGTGGCACCACATTGAGCGCGACCCTCAGGTGTTCAGCGTGAAGATCGATGAAGATTATGTGCACTGCCTGCAAGGTGTGACGCGTGCCAGCTTCTGCAATGTTTACCTGGAGTGGATCCAGCATTGTGCTGGGAAGATGGAGACGGTACTACTATTTATACACATTTAAAGCCATACTATGCAACGTTTACATATTTAAATCCTTTTTTTGAGCCAGTATGTGCCAAAATGACCCTTAGGCTTAATGAAATGTCACTCAGACCCCCATTGCCCCTTGTGGCCAGAATACCACAATTGCAACTTCAGAGTGCTGGTCTGGGGCCTCATTTATCAAGCTTGCTTACACACAAAACGGGGTCAGAAAACTGCATAAGCAACTTTCCATGCAAACTTTGGGATTTATCAAAGAAATTTTAGTGGAAAAATGTGCGCAACTTTAAGTTGACTAAGGACCTGGCTTAAGCACATGTTGGACATGGAGAGCACCTGCAGTGCTGCTGCTGAGAAGGATACAATTATGATCCTGCAGCACTATCACTTGCACTGCTTCGTTTTCACATAGAACAAGACCCCTCACACGCACACACACACACACGCGCGTACACACACATGCACACACACTCTCTCTCTCTCTCACACACACACACACACACTCACACACACACACACACACACACACACACACACACACACACACACACACACACACACACACACACACACACACACATGCACACTCTCACACACACACACATACGTGCGTGCAGACACACACACACACACACAGCCTGAAGCGCAGAATACGAAATGCAGAATATCAGCAGGGGGACAGATTGAGACAGAATGTCATGTGTTTGTGACAGTGTGTGTCCTGTCACTGTGACCCGATTGATGATGCGTCCTGGCTACTTGTACAGGAGATATCTCTGTTCGGCTGACTGGTTAGCGTGCGTGACTTTCACCTGGGGGTCTGGGGATCGAATCTCGATTGGACCATTTTTTATATCTGCCACAGATCTCTCTGAAGAATTCACAACATTCATGCTTTCGTTCTTTTTTAAACACAGAAACAGTTTTGTTTACCTGTTTGAAGCTACAGTTTCGCCGACGGCTGCCGGCTTCTTCAGGCTGACGCTGATGGTGGCGCGTCACTTCCTTCTCCGTTTATCTGCGGGCAGCAGAGGACGTTGTCGCCCTCTACTGCCCGCTCTCCCCTCTCCGACGATGCAGTCCCATGCGTGGTCCAGCGTGTAAACTCCGTCGTCCCTGTTCATGGTCCCACATCCACGTCTCCTTATCTCGATTGCTTCCTTGATCCATCTTTTGTATTTTTGTTGTTCGGTGGTTATGATCCGTGTGCTGTCCCAGTCCATTATATGGTTTTCTCTTAAGCAATGATCTGTTACGGCTGACTTTTTTATTGTACTTTCTGCTTCTTCATTTGCTGCTCTTGTGTGTTTACGATTTGCCTCTTTCTCACACTCCTTTCTGTGTTCTATTGTCCGTGTATTGAGTTGGCGTCCGGTTTCTCCTATGTATGTTTTATTGCATATTTTGCATGGGATTTCGTAGATGACTCCACATTTTTGTCCAGCTGATATTTTGTCTTTTGGGTGTACTAGTCTGTTTCTAACTGTTGTGTATGGCTTTGTTGGTGTGTTTATGTTGTGTTTTTTCATTGTTGCTCTTATTTTTTCCGTTATGCCTCTGATGTATGGTAGGGTTATCACTGGTTTTGGTTCTTGTCTTTCTGGGTTTCTGGTTCTTTTTTTGGGTTGTTCTTTGCTTTCTGTTTTTGTTTGTTGTTTTCCTTTGTTTATTGCCCATGTCGGGTATGCGCAGGTCTTTAAAGCGTGTTGTATGTGTTTGTCCTCTTGTTTACGGTCTCTCTCTTCTGTTATTATGTTTGCTCGGTGATATAGTGTTCTGATTACTGACATTTTGTGTATGGTGGGGTGTTCTGATGTCCATAATAGATATTGGTCTGTGTGTGTTGGTTTCCTGTATGTGTTTATGTTTAGGGTCCCGTCGGCGAAACTGTAGCTACAAACAGGTAAACAAAACTGTTTCTGTGTTTAAAAAAGAACGAAAGCATGGATTTAGAAAGACACAGCAAGAACACACCTAAGATATTCACAACATTGACGGCTTCAGCAACGCTGTGCCACTCCGTGGATTTTCTCATATTTGTTTTGCAAAAGCACCTCCTTTCATTTTTCCACCTCACCCACAGGTACCTCAATTTCTGCTTCTGTGAAATAGCGCTTCCTTGATCTGCCTTGATCTATGGTCGCCATGTCAATGGTGGAGCACGGGAGCAGCCAGCTTATGTATACGCATGAGGTCCACAAGGCACTTTGCATTGACTATTTATGGCAGTAAGTGGGCGTGGTGGGGGCGGGATGTGACTAAAATGCAGCTGAGAAACGTTCTCGTTGGTCTCTGATTGATGAAGCAGAGATTGCATGCAGCTGTGCGTACTCCATGTTTGATAGATCACAAACCTACTTGGCGTAAGTACTTTTTTTTTTGCTGAGCTTAAGTTCGGTGTTAGTAAGGATTCTACGCAAAGTTTGATAAATGAGACCCCTGGTCTGTTGGACTTAGAAAAATTGGAGCTGACATGCCTGGTGCTGTAGTCTGGCTCCAGCATGTTTTCGATCATGAACACAGCAGATTTGTTTAATTTAGTGAAGAATCACTCATGTAGACGCTAAGGAAGGCTGGGGAGACATTTCATCAGTTTGATTAAGGTGTTAAAAAGATAAACGCACAGCGAGGAGACAGGTTTTGCTTTTGGTTTTACAAACAGACACTAGGGGGTGCTTTAACTGAGGAATGTTTAATCAAAATGTCTATTCATTTGGAAGCTGTAATATATTTAGCTGCAAAAAGCAGAATGTGTGTTTTTGTTTTGGTCTCCACACACATCACCTGTCTTCATGTTTCTGTCCAGCCTGTGGACAGCGATGAAGACTCTCCTCTGGTGACTCTGTCCTACGCTCTCTCTGTCCTTGGGAGGAGATCTCTGGGCACAGCGTCTCACAACATGTCCAACAGGTGAAAGAGGACAACACTAACAAAGTTTCCCTGATTTGATTTAATTTCTTTTTATAGGAAATTCTTATGTGTGAATTCTTTTTCATCAAATCACATCAATTTAAACAAAAAGAAAGTTCCTGGTTTCTTAGAATTGATTTTTGTAAACAGATATAAGGATTAACGTGATAATGCTTAGAATAGAATTTATTTATGATAAAAGTTAATATATAACTCATTTTATATCATTACATTATATATTCTATCAAATTTTCCCTTCAACTCAAATTACAGTTAAAAAAATTACGTAAAAAACAAATATCCACAAAAATCTTTATTTTTTAAGGCCGTGATATACTTGATGTTTAACGATGCAAATGCATGTTTAAAATGGCTGCTATGCATTACTTGCATTGATTTGAAGTGTGTCATGGATTTTATCAATAAACCCATTTCCTGCAGCTAGCGAGAGAGACAAGAAACAACAAGGCAAACGTACAACCAAAATTGCAATTGTGTGGCAAGTGCGTGAGGCAAATGCTCCGAATTCTGCTCACAGAGGTTATTTATTACATATTATTTGTGTGCATCCCCTGAAATTAACATTACGTGTTTGAATGCTGCAATATACGAGTAACCAGTAGGCGGAGTTGACAAAACGAGCAAGACACACTCACCATGGTGACTTTGTCTCTGGTTTAGAGGTCTTTCACACCTCCTACGATACTGCTGCTGTCTTTTTTCTTTCGTGATCTCAAAATTAGCCAGTTAGTGAGCTCTTTTATTGACGCCATGTGTTTCTTGGTTGTACCCAAAAACTCGGCACTCTATCTGGTTTGAGTTATCTAGTGTGCCCCTGAGTGGAACACCCCAGTACTACATGCAGTGCAGAGCCAAGTAGCAGGAAGTATTGACAGTTTCACATCTGGGCCAGCACGGACTGGGCTGGGTGGCCGATAAGGGTTGTTTATACACACTTCTCAGAAACGGTGGGCGGGGCAAAGACAAGTGGAAAAATTCTGCGGTGTCTCCCTCAAATGACGGCCGTGCAGCTCAAGGCATGGCAGCGCTGTCTCTGTGCGTGCTCCTCGCAGCAGTGAGAAGGAGAGACAGAGAGCTGCAGCTTCAGTCTGTTTCTGTGTGTGTGTGTGTGTGTGTGCGCTCCTCAGAGCAGTGAGGAGAGACAGAGAGCTGCAGCTTCAGTCTGTTTCTGTGTGTGTGTGTGTGTGTGTGTATCGTATATTATGTTGATGGTGTGCATGTGTGTGTGCTCCTCACAGCAGTGAGGAGAGACAGAGAGCTGCAGCTTCAGTCTGTTTGTGTGTGTGTGAGTGTGTGTGTGTGTGTGTGTGTGTGTGTGTGTGTGTGTGTGTGTGTGTGTGTGTGTGTGTGTGTGTGTGTGTGTGTGCGTGCTCCTCAGAGCAGTGAGGAGAGACAGGGCTGCTGCAGCTTCAGTAAGAGGCGACCAATGTTTACTTCCCAGTATCCAGAATGATAACGAGTCGCGCATGCAGGAAGCTCCCACTAACGGTAGGTGTGCATTTGAGCCGGCCAATTGGTTGGCAGTGGGTGTGTTGGACCTGTTCAACCTGAAGCAGACCGCCTTGGTATGTGTGCCGAAAAACCGACCGGTTGAGCATGGAAAAATACAAGGCCACCAAGATGTGAACACTTTAAAAGCTACCCGGTCCGGTCCATGCTGGCCCAGATGTGAAAGCACCAAAAGTGAACAAAGATGCAGCCTGCGTCTACGTGAGGTTAAACAACGAATATATTTTAGGCCTTAGCCTATGAAGAAAATAAACTATCCTAAATGAGATAAAACAATTAGTTTAAATGTGTATTTATGAAATAACTATTGGTTTGATTTCACATCATATAAGTGAACCAAATGGCATTAAAATGTTGAAATAATTTGCATTTGAGAGGTTGGTGTAGTGTAAATTGTGGAACGTCAGCCTCCATTAAAAGCATGCACATGTTACAACATGTAGAAAACAAACACTAGAATATCGCATCAAGTACAATCTTTATATTTTATGTACTCACAGAATAATGAGGTTTTTCTGAATTAAAATGAACTTTATTCACAAACATGATATATGAATAATTATTACCCAAATTAAGCATTAAAAATAAACACTCCAACTATAAAACTAAATTTTTCTGTTTTTGATGTTAAACGTGATGGTGTGTTTTAAATGCTAGAACAAACTATTCTGCATTTTCAAAATCACACCAGTAGAGGGCACCAGTAACCAAATGCTTATTTTCTGTTTTTACAACCCAAAAATCGTTTCATCTTTATGTAATTTATCTTCAACTTGTGCTCCTCTGTCTCCTGCCTTTTATTGTTTTTTTCCCTCTTCCTCCCTTAAACCCTCCCATCCACCATAAAGCCTGGAATCCTTCCTGTATGGCTTCAACACCCTGTTCAAAGGGGACTTCCGTATCGCCACCAAAGATGAGTGGGTTTTTGCTGATCTGGACCTCCTGCAGAAGGTTGTGGCCCCTGCTGTCAGAATGAGCCTCAAGCTGCATCAGGTTACAAAGACACTCAGTTTCTGCTTAGACGTGTCATCATTTGTCTAATTCACGGTCAGATTTCTAGTTAAAAAAACATTTTTTATTTGCTTCCATATACATTTTGAATCATGCAATTGAGTGCTTCATGATGATGACATTCCTGCCCTGTAGGATCACTTTACATGTCTAGAGGAGACGGAAGAGGCATCCATCCTGTACGAAGCCATCACAAACTACCGCAGCAGCCTGGTGATTTGTCACGAGAGTGACCCCGCCTGGCGTAAGGCCGTGTTGTCCAGCCGAGATACGCTGCTTACCCTGAGGCACATGATTGATGACGGCACGGATGAATACAAGATCATCATGCTGTACAAACGCCACCTCAGTTTCAAGGTCATCAAGGTACGGATGTGATGCCAGGTGTCAGTGGGGAGGCGCTGAATGACAGATGCTGAGATTTTCAGTGTAGATAACAAAGTTCTATAAAGTCCCATTAGTCATCATCACACGCTGGTGAAATTACATCTCCGCATTTGACCCCTCCCCATGAGCAGCAGTGAACTGCAGCAGTGGCTGCGCTCGGAAACAATCTAACCCCCTAAAGCTGAGCATCAAGCAGGCGGGCATTGGGTCCCATTTTTAAAGTCTTTGATATGACCCGACCGGGATCTGAACCCTGATCTCCCAGATCCAAAGCGGACACACATAGAATGAGTTAATAAAAATCAGCAGTAATAATTCTTTAGTCAAAAAATCTGGCACGGCGGTGGAGCGCATTTTGGTCCCTATAATTCTTGGTTAATGTCCAAAGTTTTGAAGACAAGGGCATAAATAGTCTTCTAGTTACATGTCATTGTGGGCCACAAAACTTAGATGTTTTTTTTTCCTTAATTGAAAATTAAATGTAAAAAAGCAATAATTTATTATTTGCAATAATTATATTTTTTAGAATATATTGAACTGTTTAGATATTACATAGTCTCAGAACACAAAAATGTCTTTTTACATCAACCTTGAGATAAAATTTCTCAGAATTCTAGAAATGCAATTTGCCCAAAATCAATCCCGGGGTCACACTTTGGACATGTCCAGTGGCGCCCCCAGATAATTTTCATAGGGGTGGCCAGAAAAAAATTTGGGGGTGGCACACCGGAGTTGCCCCACTGTGGTAACTCTAGGAGAGTTTAGCCTGTGAAGATGCATTGCTCCTTTAATCTTTTTCATTAAGAAAACAAAATGCATCTAACATGATTACCTCAAATTTGAAGAACACAATTTAAAGAAAGAAAACATTTTTATAAATTAATCAGTTGTATTCATATTGTTGTAAAGTGTCTTGGTTGTCTTGAAAGGCCCTTTAAATAAAATGTATTACAATTAATCAACATTTTTATTGATGTTTGAGAAATTAACATTTTTTTGTATTAAACATATTTTTGCATTTTATTCAATCCAGGTGTGATTCTAGGATAAAATGTTATGGGGCCTCAGCCTCGAATCAAGTGACGGCCGACTATTGGTGCCCTTCAGACACGGGCACCTTCCTCATTTGTTTTGGATTCGTTATATTTTCATAAATAGTGTTTTATCCATCCATCCATCCATCCATCCATTCATTTTTTTCTGCTTTTCCAGAGTCAGGTCGCTGGGGCAACAGCCTAAGTCGAGAGGCTCAGACTTCCCTCTCCCCAGCTTGGGCCAGCTCTTCTGGTGTTTTAATTGTACTTTTTAACCATCAGTAGCTGCCTGGTCAACACCAAATGAAATCTGTAAATTGGCTCTAGAAAATGTAGAGTGTAACATTTAAAAAAAGTCAGTCCATTTCATAAACTTATATGACTTTTAAACCTTCCTACCCCTCCTTTCCCTGCAGATCAATAAGGAGTGTGTTAGAGGTCTGTGGGCGGGTCAGCAGCAGGAGTTGGTGTTTTTACGGAACCGAAACCCAGAACGGGGCAGCATCCAGAACTCCAAGCAGGCCCTGAGGAACATGGTGAACTCGTCCTGCGACCAGCCGCTGGGATACCCCATGTACTGCTGCCACAGATGGCTCACTCCGAGGTCAAAGCTGCTGTTCAAGTGACTGATCTAAGACTTTCCTGTCCTAATTTTTAAGGTACGTGTCGCCGCTGACAACATCCTATGCAGGAACCCATCGCACGCTCCGCAGCATCGGAGGAGGGGCTTTGAGCCTGGATGCCATTCGCTCTTGGCTCTGCTCTAAATGGCTACGGTCAGTAGATCCTTGTGCCACCAGGCTGTGAGCTGTTTTTTTGTTTAGGTTTGCCTGACAGGATCAATTCTCCCTGTGACCGGGTTTCTCCATTAGCATTCTTCATTAGCCGAAGATAAACCGGGCAGGATTTATTTGGTTCAGTCATGAGTTCAGTGTCTGGATCAACCAGCTGTCTGAGGATCTCCGATGGAGACACTCTGGATAAAATCCATTTAAATTTGGCATTTTGTATAAAACAGTGAAGACATTTACAATTCCTTCAGAGGTCACAGGTATTTATACTCTGAAAGAAAGAAAACGATCTTTTAAATAGTGCCTCTCAGTATAAATTTTTTTTAAAAATTTGATTAAAAATGTTTAAAATGAGAGAAAAAAATAAAAATTGTGATCAAAATAATAATGTAAGGAAAGGGCGAGAAAAAATGAATAGGAAAGAAGGAAATCTGCAGAATACTTTCCTCTATTGCATAAACAGATTTCAGTTTGGGAAATTTACCACATCTTTTTTTGAGCCCCTTTAGAAATGACATGTTTGCATTTTTAATTTAGAGAACATTTTTGTTCCTGTTCAATTATCAATGATGCACAAAAACGACACGATAAACTAAAATAATCTGTGTATTTATTTATAAATATTTGTACAAAAAAGTGTAGCGACATGAATAACAATGCACCATTATTACACTTATAATGCATAAAGATGTAAAAAAAATTAAAAATAACATTTCTGTGACTTTTTTGCCTCTGTGAAAACATGAAATAGTGAAAGTCTTACACCGTCTAATTTCAGGAAAATAAATATGGAATGTATTTTTTGGGAAATTTCCTAAACTCATAATTAAATTTCTAATTAATAGAATTAATATCGATGAGGTTTTGGTTTTCACAACAAGTAAAAGAATAAATCAACATCATAATCAGCTGGATGGGTGTCAGGAAGGATCAATCCATCTGCGCCGGACACGTAATGCTCCGGCTTCCTGCTGGATGACAGAATGTTTCTCCAAGGATTTAGAGCCCAGACAGGGACTTTGGTGCAGACTTAATGTAGCTTTAAACACATGTGCAGGGACAGAGGGACAGGGATGGAATGACAGGGGCAGAAGGAGTGTTCATCTAAGAGCTGGATGGATTAGAGAGAGGGAGGAAAAGTGAAAATGTGGACATTCTGCTATTAACTGTCCTCTCAAATTATATCCCATCTTCTTTGGCTTTGATTGTTGCTGTAGTTTCACTTACTAAGCTAAAGAAACGCGTTACGCAGAGAAAAACACACATAAACACACAGTTACACAACATTTCACTTTGAGTCAAAGTGTGTGTGTTTAACCAGCTGGGACAGTCGAAGCTCGCTACATTTTTGATGTCCTGTTGCCCTTTTGCATCTCTGGCGCTGATGTGAGCATGAATAAGTAAATCTTAGCTGTGTGTGTTCTGCAGAGTGCGCAAGGACAACCTGACCAGCTGTAATAACAGCGGCACCAACATGGAGGACGTGGACTGTGGCGCTGCCGGTTCGTCCTCGCTGAGCCACAATCGCCCATCCTCTGTCACGTCCAACAGCCTGAGTCTTTACCAGCACAGGGCCAGGACGACACACAGCCACAGACACCGCAACACAGGTACACACACACACACACACACACACACACACACACACACACACACACACACACACACACACACACACACACACACACACACACACACACACACACACACACACACACACACACACACACACACACACACACACACACACCTGTCTCCCTGCTTCTGCAACACTTTCAAATCTAAATTTGCTCACTTGTTGTAATTAGTAACATTAAAATATGTAATTGTGTCTCTTAGGAAGGAGAGAGTACCGCAGCCGCTCGGTTCAGCCTCAGAGTCAGCGTCCTCCCGTCAGCAGCCAATCAGGTCCAATCCTGGACTCAGGCTCTGCCCATGGTCTTGTCCAGCGATTGTCCAACAGTCAATTGTCCTTTAACACCTCCATAGCCTCTATATTCTCTCAGGTATACACACAGGTTTTTCTTAAGCAGCCTTTAAGTTGTAAAGTGTGTCTTCTAAAAACTGTGCGTCTTCAGGTCCCTCGTCTGTCAGGAGCAGGAGGGATCAGCTCTCAGCTCCAGGCAGCGCAGCACCAGCAGCGCTCCAGTCAGGTGGGGACATCTCCCACACACACACACACACACACACACACACCTCCAGAAAGACTCTATCTACACTCACGACCTTACGGTTTGTCCCTGCGTGGCGTCTTCCTCCAGGTTTCCTCATCTTCTTCCACTCTCAGCCTCCTGTTTGGGAAGCGCAGCTTCTCCAGCGGCCTGGTGATCTCTGGGCTGTCGGCTGCTGAAGGGGGCAACACCACAGACACGCAATCCTCATCCAGTGTCAACATCGCCTTGGGGCCTTCACACAGGTCTGGCAGCAGAGCCATGCAGGTAGGACACAAATCAGTTCAAACCAGTTCAGGTCAGATCTCTGCCTTTTTAATGTTTACCTCCTCTGTGTCTCTTTTCTTTCTCTCAGTGGACATCAGAGCCTTACGAGAGCATCGACGCAACCAACTCCAACGCCGCCACCACGGTGAGAGACGGCCCACAGTCGAGCGATCAAGGCTTCAGCCAGGGGTTAGACAAGACCCAGGAGGAAGAGTCTGCCTCCACAGCTCGAGAGCTGGCGGATCATAAAACCGTCTGAGAAAGACGAGAGAAGCCATGATCAGAGAGGACTGTAGAGGAAATAACTCACAAATATACAGAAGATTGTATGAGCACCCATGCACACAAACCTGCCTTCTCCCTCATTCTCAGCATGTGGTCTCATCCTGTTGTCCGAATGCAAAAAAAAAAAAAAAAAACTATCCTTGATCCAGTCGATCAAATAAAAACGTTTTTTTGATTGAAGCTGTCCTTTCTACATCTGTTCCTTCTTTTATTTTCATCTGTGTTTCAGGTGGAGCATTGGTTTTTGTTCTAGAGCAAGATGACATCACATCAGGAGTAGCTGTCTGGTTTTAGCTAACGTGTAAAAATGAATGAACACGTTAAAAACTCGAATGTTTAAGTAGCTTTTCAGTTTTATGACCAAGTTATGTTTCCAGAAAAAACTTGTTTTCTTGAACTCAGCATTTGATTCTTTATTGCCTTCTCACAATTGAAGGAACGTAATAAAAAATATTAAAATACTACCATTTACTTGCTTTTAGGGCATCAGGTCTTACCTACAGTGTTTTGTCTCCTAATTCCTGGTTTTACTCGGGTATTTAAACCCAACAAGGACAGTTTTAGCACTTATGCTACGTAAAATAATTTTGCAGGTCTTTTAAAAGTTTTATTTGATCTAAATTTATAATTAACTTACCTACGCCTCTAAATCCGAGACCATGGTTTTGAGTCGGAAAAAGGGTAGAATGTCTTCTCCAGGTCGGGGATGAGGTCCTGCCCCAAGTGGAGGAGTGTAAGTACCTTGTTCACAAGTGAGGGAAAAATGGAGAGTGAGATCGGATTGGTGCCACGTCTGCAGTGATGCGGGCGCTGTATTGGTCTATTGTGCTGAAGTGAGAGCGGTTCTCGATTTATCGGTCCATCTACATTCCTACCCTCACCTATGGTCACAAGCTTTGGGTAGTGACCGAAAGAACGAGATCGTGGATACAAGCGGCCAAAATGAGTTTTCTCTTGAGGGCGTCTGGCCTCCCCTTAACTCAATCACTGCCAATGATGACTAAAGTCGTCATTTGCATTTTTTTACTGTTTGGGCATTGGAACGAGCCCTCGCGCTGAGAGAACAAACATCTCAGCTCTGAAGCCGATCTTCATCCGCATACTTCACATAATCAGGAGGTAGAATCTCCATGTGTTAGGAGATCGTTTTGGGCCGTTCCTGTAAAAAAAAGTGAGGCGCGAACTGGACAAGCGTCTGCTGATCACAGTTCGACAAAGGATTATGAAAGAACGGATAAGGCTCGAAACACGTGGATTCTTCCTGATGTAAGAGGTAAGTCTCCTCTGTTTTGGGTGTTTTGGCGTCAACATCATCCTAGCGTGCAACGTTCTGTCAGTCTTAAAAAAACAGTAAAAATGGCAGAAATGCTAGCAGTGAAGGCCTTAAACGATCAGGAAACGGCTGACAGCGAATGAGTTCAGAGTTAGGGTGAGAAGCTCAGTCATCCGGGAGGGTCTCGGAGTAGATCTGCTGCTCCTCCACATCAAGAGGAGCCAATTGAGGTGGCTCGAGCATCAAGTTAGAATGCCTCCCTGACGAGGTTTTCCGGGCACGTCCAACTGGGAGAAGACCCAAGGAAGACCCAGGACACACTGGAAGGACTATGTTTCTCGACTGGCCAGGGAACGCCTTGGGATTCCCCCCAAGGAGCTGGCCCAAGTGGCTGGGGAGAGGGAAGTCTAGGCCTCTCTGCTGTGGCTGCTGCCCCCATGACCCGACCCCGGATAAGCGGCCCAAAATGGATGGAAGGATGGAACTTACCTATTGTACACAGTGGTCAATAGAAAAAACAACTAAAACAACAAGCGATGTTTTTACGCTGTCGTCCGATCTTCACCTGATCTGACTTCTGGATGCAATAAGAGTGATTCTTTAAAAACAGTGACATTTGCACACTAATAGACTGGAGCTGTTTTAAGGTGGAATTTGCCTGCTTTGGTCTTGGGTGCACTCTTACTAGCGGCGAGCTCATCAGTAAACAAGGCCTCCGAGAGACACTTATCGACTTCTCGCACACTTCAGCATGGCTTAAATGTTGAGATATTTTATCTGATGAAAGGCGAAGATAAAACAGATCTCAGGACACACTGGCTCTTAGGCATACATAAATAAAAACGTGTGGGTGCGAAAAAAAAGGCCAAATCACAACGGTCAAAAATCTATTAATAAAGTCTTTATTATAAGTTGTTACATTTAGATTTCTCTCTCTAGCAGCACTATTTAAATTACGGATATCCAAGGGCAGTAACCATAGATTGTAGTTCTCTCTTAATGCAACATGTCATCATGTAAACATGTAGACAGACACAGAAGAGTAAGTAGATCAGAATGTACCACAACATGGGCACGACATTAATGTGACTAAACTCGAATGAGGTTTGAGGACAATAAACAACAACTTTTTTGTGTGTCTTCTGAAAACGAAACAGTAAAACAAATAATAATAAAATGATCCAGAACAATGTACAGCATCTAGTGACAGTTACAGGTCAGTTGGAATCGTGCGTGTTCACCTGCCTGCCCACATCAGTCGTGTTGGTGGTTTACATGCTAAAAACACGCATGTTCAGAGAGGTGAAACAGCAACATACATGAACTTGTAACAAAAATATTTTCAGGGTTCTTTTAGTGCAACAGAGCAGGTGATTTAATATCCCAACAGCTTGTGGAAAGAAAAGGTTGATTGTAATATGGAACATTTGATCCACCCTTGTTGTACTTAGTCGTATATTTAAACTGATCTCAGAAAAAAAATAAAATTGTTACTCAACTATTTGTGAAATCTGTTTCTTGTTCTTTTCTTACACAGAAAAAAAACTTTGTGTTTAAGAAAAGAACCAGAAATAGATTATGAATAAAAACACTGAATGAACATACAAAAGAGTATTTGTGGAATATCTTCTTAAAGCTTAATGAAATATCTAGGCTGATAAGCCTTTCATGAAAAGGGGTAAAGAATATGGTAGACAAACTATATTACGTTTTTGAGTCAGGCTGTCAGTTTTAGCTAGGGTTGCCAACTTTCAGAAATTCAAATAAGGAATGCTGTCTCAGAAAAGTGGTGCAGGGATGCTATCCATATCATTATCTAATTAGCAAAACCAGAAAAAGCAAACATCACAAAAGTAATCCCAGATCCTGTTTCTGAAATCTCACTAAAATTCATTTTCAAGATGTTTGTCTCGAATCAACAATTTATTGAGTAATTCCAAGTTTGATTTATTAGTGAGGTAAAAAAAATAAGTCACAATAAAACAATCTTTTCATAAATGAAGAGAAAAAAAAGTGGCTCCTGAGATTTAAGATCCCCTTCTAGTTAAATGTGGGCACTGATCTAAATCAGAGGTCTCCAGTCCTGGTCCCCGAGAGGCACTATCCATGGCTCCAACACACTTGATTCAATGGTTAAATCATAAAGTTAAGCAGAAGCCTTTGAAACTAATCACCAACAGATTAGAAGCAGGTAAATTAAAGTAGAGAAATCTCTAAATTTAAAAGATTTTCTTTGCTTCAACACACCTGATCTACAACATCTGGACTATGGCTGAGTGAAACAGCCTGAAATCAATATCAAGGTATATTTACATATATTTAACCTGTGACCAGATTTCACCTCGATAACGATAAATGGACGATAACTACAGGTATGCACAAAAAGGACAGTTGTTCAATAGATGGGGCTGTCACGTGTACCATCTTGAGTCACATTGTCATATGACTCAAGGTGGTACAGCTTCTTAAAGGGACACGAAAGTCATCAACCTACACACATCTTTTCTTTTTTTCATTATCAGATTTATTGACATGAGAAAAGTTATACCAATCTGAGTCTTAAAATTTGATAAAGATACATTTATGATTTATTGCCCAGCCATAATATGGACACAAACATGGAGCTTAAAAGTGAGACTTTTGTGTGAACATGTGTGTATGAGTGTGTCTAAAATTTAGACATGAAAATTTAGCTTGATGGCCTGCTAAACAGGTAACAGAGCCATTGAATCAGGTGAACGACTCAAACTTGTTGGAAAGGGGCCCGAGGGCCAAAGGTGAAGACTTCTGATTAAATCATTCTGAGTTGTGGGGCATTCATTAATGAACTGAATCATCAACACGTAAAAACAACGTATTTTCTTGTATTTTTTGCAGTTTTTCATTAAATGGAACAAAACTAGCTAGCTAACCATCCTAATATCATAGTTTGCTACCATGGAATTTTGCTAGTAAGTAAGTAAATCGTATTAACTAGCAAACTATGGTAATAAGATTATCATGTGTATAACCCCCACGCTGTGGTTACTTGTACCCAAAAGACGCAACACACCAGTTTAATTTATCCATAAATAAATTCACAGTGGCATTGTTGGCAACCGTAGTTTCAGCTAACTAGCCTTAGCATGCTACTCACAAGGTTAGCTAACCAGCTAAAAGAGGTATTGATTTTCTCTAAATCTTTCAGTTTCAAATGTTTCAAAAAGGGTTTACACAGTTAAAACATGTTTATATTTTGCTGTTTACACTTGATTATTAAACACAAAGAGATCAATTCCTTTTATGTGTCTCTCTTATTAACCATTTTACATCGTGGTACAGTAACAGGTGAAAAATCATAGAAATGTGAGGTTGACTGATCAAATACTTGATTAAACACCACTGTCTTGGAAAATCAATCTATTCATGCATGTGAAAACAACCAACAATGATTTATCACTTGTTAATACAAAGAGGGTTTGTTTAATCATTCTGGCAATTCTTGAGACACCCAAAACAAGAATTAAGTTCCCATAACCTTCTCTAATATTCAAACACACTAGAAGAAAAAATATGAACCTCTCAAAAGAGTTTCTCATATTTTGAATTGTCTGCATACTGCAGTACTTGAATACATACTCATACAGTATCGTTTATAGCAAATAACTGAATTATTTCATTTATTTAGCACAAAGCATGCTGAATAAAAAATGTCACTTTTTTAAAGTGTCTAAAGTGACCGTGTTTTTTTTAATATTTCTTCACTCGCAGCTCATTTGTCAACAACTGCGATCTATCTACAAATGCATGACAATAACCAAGAAGTTTAGGCATCTAAATCAATAAAGAGAAAAGTGATTGCCTAAAATGGTTGATAACCAACTTCAGTCTTGTACAAACTTGCTCTCTTTCCTCAAATAGAACAAAGACCTCTAGAGGAGGCACAAAAAAGACAGCGTGAGGGCGTCGGGAGTTGTGTAGCAGAGACAACGGAGTCATTTTTGCTGTTAAACAGGGTCGTTTCTGCTCTGACTTCTAATTACGATATTATACGTGATGAGAGACAAAGTGAGAATTCGAGAAACATTAAGTGAGACAGAAAGAGATCACAAGGTCTGCTGTGAAGCTTATGGAGGCACCATACCCAACTGAGGGAACACTCAAACCTATATTAGTGGATAAACTTGTCCATGTTTAGCCGCTATAAGAAGAAAAAATATAAAAATCAGGTTCATTGTTGGGTCAGGAGTGTCATCACTTCCATCCCCTGAAATGAAAAAAATATGTTTAAAACTATAAGAAAAAGCAGTCTTGAGTGGACTTAGTCATTTAGATGACTTCTCTTGTAGTTATTGCATTAAAGCCTCTGATCCACATGAATGCTACTGTAACAGCACAGTGACAGTCTGGATGTGGCTACAAAAAGAGCAAGAAAAAGCAAGAAAAAACAAGTTCCTGTACATGCACGTACTGACCCGCCTCTCTCGCCTCCAGATTTGCATCCTCACAGCCCTATGCAGTTTTTGAATAAAGAAAAAGGCAAAGGTGACTTCATAAACGGTAAAGAGTCTGCTGGTATCCCCACCGGGCTGTGACTGTTGGTGACAAAGTGCAAAACATCACTTGTCAGGAAGTTTCTAAAAAGTCTCTAAACAGCTGTGAGTATTAACGTTCTTGCAGGAGTTGCAGAGCCTGACTGTTTTGTTGCTGGAATATTGACAAGGCAACATCGCTGAATACATTTTCTTTTTAAATACTCTCAGGCATCTGGAACTCTTAACAAGTTAGTTTAGTGCGACAGAAAATATGAGAAATGTGAGAAAAAAGGTGTGACTGATAAGACAAAAAAAAAAAAAAACAAGTAAAAGATATTTCTGGCCCGATAAAGTTTTAGACTAGTACAAAACTCCTGGAAATGTGACAATTTCCGCAGTTCAATTTCCGCAATTGTTCATTAATAGTGAGGGCCGCATTCCACTCCTGCAGCTGTGAGTGTTGATTGTTTTGTAAAAGCACCAAAGAGCAGAACCTCAATTAAATGGAATGCAGCTACTGGTAATACACTAGTGCCCTTCCTTCTATTTTAAATATGTCCTAGAATTCAAACCCACTTTTCCCTTGCTGTTGACAAAAACAGGCAGTAGTGCTGCCACGATTAGTCAATTCGACAAAATCACGTTGACCAAAAATGTTTTGCCTGCTGCGGCAACTTCTGCTGCATTCCGCCTTTCTGCTTGAGGCACATGCGCATAGTGGCCATCCGTGTCAGCCGTCGCTTCACCGGAAAACAAGACACGGCGAGCCAGAAACGTACATCAAACGTTTGGGAGCATTTTACAAAGATATGAAAGAAGCACGCACAGTGCAAAATCTGCAAAGTAGATCTTTCCTTTCAGGGGAGCACAACGACTGATGATGCACAAACACCTTAAAACATCATGGCGTAGGACGAAGAGAGCCTCTGTAAGCTAATTACCCCTCGTTAACTCATTCACTGCCATTGACAATAAAAGTCGTATATTGCATTCTTTAACTGTTAGGCAACTATAATAACCCTAACCCTAGCCCCCCCCCCCAAAAAAAAAAAACAACAACAACTAGGAATCGAAATACAAAAAGTTGAGCAATTCCGGGAAAAATGAACAGTTGGAACCGGTTCCATTCGATCAACTCTAGTCATTGAGCCGAGTGGGCGGGGCAAAGCGGTCTTTCCATTGCAAGGCTTTATTATGGGGTTGTGTTTGGCCATGGATCAGGGCTCCTGGGAAATTTTGAGCCCCAAGAAAGTTTCATATACGTTGAAGACCCTCAGTGAACAGTTTTTAATAATAATAATGAAAAAAGGAAAATCATTGTTCTAGGACCCCTTTAAGCAATTATGTCCTCCATGATATAGGTGTGGTGCAAATTAAATGAAGATGAACTGAAAAGAAATGAAGGCATAATTAAGATACTTTGAGACTAAATCTCAAAAATTTTGTGTCTTTTCCAACAGCCGTAGCCCAGAGAGGAAACAGCTTTAGTGCTGCTTCAATTCAGCATCTACTCTTAAACTGACGGCTTCTTTATTTTTTTTTGTCAAAAATTACACAGTCTAGCTTAAAATACGACACAATGTTACAATGGCTGGGTAAAGATTTAAGTGGTAGTTTTGTTTCCCCTCAGTTTGGCAACACTGCACATGGTTTAGCTGGTCGAGCTGTAGCCTGAGCAAAGAGCGCTCCCCTGGCAGCGGAGTTCCAGTAATCTAACCAAAACTCCATCACACATAAAGTCAGACAACACATTTATTTCTTTTCAACAAGGTTTCTTTTTCATCATCACGAAAGGCATATACTATTTTCTTTGTATGTTACTTGTTATGTACGTATATATTTTATTAGTATTTAAAAGAAAGAAAAATAAGTTATACATTTTTGCTGAATAAGATTGAAGAATATCAGCAAAGGGCAATGTAAACCATGGTCCATCTAAAGCAGGTGAAAGGTACGGTAGCTCGCCCTTTCCCGACTCGCCCACAGTAACAGATTTGCATAGGCAAAAAATGGGATTAGCCCTTAGACAGTGGATTCCTGAATTCTTTATAGAGATGCAAACTCTAGTTCAGCTCAACACAATTAAAAAACAAATATACATTTAAATAAAAATAGTCATAATAATGTTGACTAGGCCAAGCTCTCTCACTCTCTCTCTCTTTTACCTTTCTGGTCATATACATCATCATTTTTCAGTGCACATTTTTTGTTTACAGTGTTAGGCTTCAAGTAGATCTAAAAGCAAAAACAAAAGAAAAAAAATCTTGTACATTTAAAACTAGATGTGAAATAAATTAACCAACATGAGAGGTAGTGAAAAGCCTACGACGACATTTGTCTCTTGTTTTTTTTTTCATTACTAAGACAAAAAATAAAAATAAACATGTCAGTAAGGCCAAAGCTTTGCAGACCTCCAATCTCATCAGGACACGTTGACTCCCATTCTTTTGTTGTTTTTTTCTCAATGAAACCACAGCCCTGTTTCAAACACCCACTTGGAATCCATGGAAATTTCAAAAATCTAACCTCAGCGATGACACTACATCAGTTCACATCATCATCATTGCTTGTAAAATCCACATTTTCTAAAATACACAAGCATGTACTTTTCCCCACTGGGTAAAAGTCAGAATAAGTTAGGAGGAGAGGACAAAAGCAGGAAATATGGGTTTCTGCTCTGTTTCTACCCATCTTCTAAGACCAGACCCAGAGACTCACGCCAGCTCTAAACCTGCTGGCTTTCAGCTTTTTCACGGTTACATGTATGCCATTAGATACACACATCTCACATCATTTATAAATGTAAACTTGGTTTGATTGCACCATGATTTCATTATCTGGTTTGTGGTGAAACATTCTTGTGTTAGTTGACAAATAGACAAAAAGGAAATAACTATTGTGCAGAGGAGTAATTTTGCCAGTCAGAGCTTCATGAGTGGAAAAGTTCCAGAAATGCAAGATCTAAAAATGCTTTTAGTTATTTTTATTCATCCACGAATAAAACGTTTTTTTTTCAAAGGAGCAAGTGTGAAAACTGACCTCCACTTTTAGAAATGTTTACCAGGACGCATGCATGTGCACAGCTGTTGATTAAAGCAGAAAGCGATAGATCTGGTGGACCTTCATGTATATTGTCTTTAGGAGCTGCATTAACAAAGGTTAAAGAGTATATTTCAGTGAGAGACCAGGGAAACTTGTGGGAATATCATTGGTTTTAACTAGGGATGTCCGATATCATCGGCCGATCTTGGCATTAAATGTAATATCGGAAAATTTCGTTATCGGTATTTAGTCTTTTAATAACACAACTTTTACATACCATGCACAGATTATACATCAAACTCTTTAACTACTTCTCTCAGAAAATATGAAACATGACACATTCAAGGTATTAATATATTTTTGTTTATTTGGCACAACTGACCTAACTGAAAGTGAATTCGTCATATTTAGCACAGATATTAAGTATAAAAAGAAGATATGTGATGTTAGCCATCTAAAATAATTGTGTTTTTCTTTCTTTCTTTACTTTTTTATGAAGGGGACCCCACATGTATTGGTTTGCACCAATATCACATTTAAAGTGACAGGGTGTATTTTTACCTTTAAATCTCTGGAAATATTAATCAAAATGTTGTTGAAAACTAATAAAATGATGTCCAGCCATTGAAAAATACGATAAAAATTGAGTCTAAAAGACAAAGGAGTCCGGGTCTAGCGTCTTTGGGGTACGCCATATTAGACGCCATGTTTCCTTCTAGCCGGCTCGGGGTCCTGCGCCTGTTGATGATGTCACACTAGATGATTGGCTGGATGTACGACCTACGGAATTTACGTTACCACATTCAAAAACATTTTGGCAGTGAGAAACACAAATTTAATAACAAACTGCTAACCTCTTTCCAAAACTGATGTGAAAGAACAAAATCAAAAAAGAGATGCAATAAATGTTGGCCGAGCGGTATTGCCACAATCCGACGACGTCATCGTCAAGCGCAGGACCCAGAGCAGATCCAGAAACTACAGCGTCAGAAAAATACAATCGGCATTTCATTCTCTCTACGAAATTAACTGAAGGACTGTCTTCTTCCAGCTCTTGGAGAGTACAGACGCTTTTTTCCTCCTCTCCTCCCTATCTTATCCCAAGGCTCTTTGTCTGTTTTTGGGTGGACGGCGCTTCTGCATTTTTTCTGGAAACTGGAAATTATTAAAAATGGACCTGGTCAGTTGGTCTCTCAACGCGATTGACAACATTTTTTCAACAATGAGAACGAGAGAAGGGGCTCCTGGATGCCCCTCTGGGACAGAGCCAGTTGGGCATATCATGGACTCCTGGAAACAGTGGAACCTGATCTGCCTCACTCAACTGTCTGTAGAGGATTCTGAAGACGTCTGGATATTCAAGGTGTTGGTGTCAGGTTTCGTGCTGTTTGGCCTGAGCGGTTACATGGCTTACCGGAAAATGAATGAGCTGTCGAGGAATATTGGCTCAATCTCGGAGCTCAGGGATGGATTACACCGCGATGTGAACGCACAAACTCATAATTGTCGAGATGAGTCGTAAGCTTGGAACTTTGGCTGAGATTCAGACTCTGGCACAGAAGGTGGATTCGATCAAGGAGAAAGTCGACGTATCAGCACGGATTGGGATAGATTAATTACGCCATTATTGGATTTAGAGGGGTTGAGGACCAACAGAACTTTAAGACAGAGAGGAAATTATCTCTGTCTGGCCCCAAAACAAGTTCTTATCTGAATCTGGTGCCCTTGAGCCTGTGAGGCTGAAGCGATAACTCTCCCTCAGAAGAAATGTGGAATGCTGCCGTCGCCATGGCAACTCTGTCTCCCTGTCCCAGCCTGGGTGGGACTTCGACTGGTGAAGGCCGTTGAATCATTTCCAGGAGTCACTGTGCTTTCTAAACCCAACTACCTCCCTCCCCTGTCCAAACGGAAGTGATGAAGAGCGCTGCTCATCGTGGCTGCATGCACTGATGTGAGGAGAGTCCCAACCCTTCCTCCCCACCTAGTGGACACTTATGTTGTTTAATGTCTGAAGTCTGTTGCATTTCTGCATAACAAAGAAATGGTGCTTTTTGCATAACAATGCTGCCCTTCCTGTGGAGGGTAACTCTGAAGTGCCTTTTTTTCCTCCACCTGACTCAATCCTCAAATATAAACCCTCTGATCTCTATTAAGGTAGCGCGACTCGGGTTGCGATGTGTCTATGCCTATGTAAGTATGTCTGATCTCAGAATTGTGTGTACTGAAACTCTAGTTTCCCTCTGGGATTAATAAAGTATCTTTGAATTTGAATTGAATTGAACTGAATTTGAATCAAAGGCTGAGGAGTCACGCTGAGGTTGTGTGCTTTCTGCTCCACATGTAACATTTACCGTGATGTTTTCTTAAACTAACGACAGTCACGGCGATATGGTGTAAAACTACCCTGAAATGTATGTACTGCCCCCATCGACATATAAATATTGGACAATGGGTTTTCAAAGGCTCCAATAACACATTTTTGAAGATAAATGGGAGGTGGCCACCACCGCCATTTTGACCGTGTCACAGGTTCCGTCAAGCCCAGACAATTCCACAAAAGGGAAGTGAGGTGGGGCAGTAAGGCTGGGAACAACTGACGACACCCGGTCGAACTAGCTACAAGCTAACCTGAAGCTAACCCAAAGCTAACATGGAGGTGGGAGCTAAGCTAACGGAGGTAGCAACCTAGCTACAACCGGAGTTAACTGTGCACAACACCAGAGCTTCTGAGTCAAAGATCTGCTGGGTAAAACCGGGTGGAACACAGAGGTCACCGAGAGCTCCACAAGCCGGCAGCCGCACAGCAGACAAGCGCCGCTGCGATCGGAGATGCACAGAGCTAACGCTGGAGAGAACCGGGTGGAAAGGTTTCCATCCCTGAGCTCCACAAGCCGGCAGCCTGCGCAGCAGACAGAAGCCGCGATCAGACAGAGATGCGCCGAGCTGCGGGGAGGGGAGAACCAGCCAGCAGCCCGTGCAGCAGACAGAGATGCGCCGAGCTACGGGGAGGGGAGAACGGGTGGAAAACAGAGGTCTCCCGAGAGCTCCACAAGCCGATAGTCGGAACCCAGCTCCACCAACATGTTATATTTCAACCCATTTTCTAAAGTGCAGCATTATGTTAAAAAATGAAGTGGAGACTCCTTGGACGCTCTATTAGTGCAATTAATGCCACAGCAAGTCATTTTGTCCAACAATTGCACAAATAATGTCCAAAAAAGAATACACAAACACAGAGAGTCAAAATCCCGGAACAGTTTCCAAGCCAGACCGAGGCTCTACTGAGGCCTTTCCACGGAGCTAGCTCTGTGGTCACGTGGGTCTGATGCTCATTAATTATACAGAATTTTAGGCTTTTAATAGACTTAAACAGAAGAGTGAGAAAAAAATTCACCCCCCTCAGAGTTGTCATGAGTGTAAACTAGATAATTTAAACAAAAAACATGTTCTGGAACCAGGCTGTAAACATGTTTATTTCTGCTGTGAAATTGGTGTTTTTAACATGGGAGTCAATGAGGATTTGCTCGCTTCTGACACCAGCCCCCAGCGGATGAGGGTGGAACTGCAATTTTTGGTACTTCCGGGACTGTTTCAATTTTTGAGCCGCATTGTGGGGGCTTGACTGCCCCTTAGCGCCAGGAAAATACACACTGCCACTTTAAGAGTCTATACCTATATCAGATGTAATGGATACATTAAGAAGCCAATATCAAACATCCCTAGTTTTAACGTCTTTACCTTACAAAAAATAATAAATTATAACAGGCCGTTATTCATCTATTTAGCAAAACGTGCAACCAGTACAGCACCTTGTTTATTCTGAATTATCTTTTTTTTTTTTTTTTGGTTAAGATGACTTTCTGACAGTCTAAAAAAATGAGATAGCTTCTCAGAGTAACCCTAATCGAACCCCAGTAATTGAAGCCAATTAATTATCCTGTCGTCTGGACCGCGCTTGGCACGTGAAGTTCAGGTAGTTAAAAAAAGTCGGCCGTATTTATCTGTTCCGCCATTTTCTGGAACACCTTTGACACCAACAAGATCAGATATTCACCAATAGACATGGCCAGTGTGCAAAGAAGCTTGCTTATTTTGCACTCATGCACCTTCTACTGCAAATGTTTACATCATAAAAAAGTCTGTTTTTATATTCTAACAAAATATTAATGAGATATTTGGCAAAAAACCCCATCCGCTTTTATTATTTCCTGGTAAATCTATTTCTGTATTGTATGCACACACACACACACACACACACACACACACACACACACACACACACACACACACACACACACACACACACACACACACACACACACACACACACACACACACACACACACACACACACACACACACACACACACACACAATGACTACATGCTGTTTAAGTCAAGTTAGAAAAATAAACCAGTGTGTGTATGTGTGTGTGAGGGCTGGCAGTAGAAGGGAAGATTAGCATGCTACCTGCTTGTCTGCAGCATGCTTAAACCCATTTGCCTTCTGTGTTTTTGTTCTTTAAAAAAAAATTTTTTTAAAGGCTTGTGTAGAGCATGACTACGCAAATGTCTTTGCCCGCCTGATGTGGTAGCATGGTAGCATCATTTATTCAGCCCTCCTCTCCAGCTAATGAAAAAATGAATAAAACTGCTCTTGGGCAGCAATTAACTGCTCCAAGGGACTACCGTGTACCAGAAAAGCAAGTCAAAGCAAATATCTCTTCACAGCATATTGGAAATACGGTTTGACACCCATTTCTGCTCAAATATCTTGTTTAGCTCTCGTTAACTGTTATGTAACCTGCGACATCTACAGCCTTTCAAACAAAGATCAGGCTTTACGTTTGCTACTGTTGTCCAAACAAAACCGGCTTTCCTATAATGCCAAATTCACAGAAACAATATGCATGTCTATTTTATTCCGTTTCTTATTTATTTTATTCTCCAGTCTTGGGTTTTGCCCAAACTGAGAACCCACACTTTGCCAGGTTGTGATGGTTAAAATTGTAAGCAGGTGGAGAGGGGGACAGAAAAAGGATGGGCGATAGAAGTTGTTGGACAAATCTCTAGCAGTGCTTGCGATGCCTTTTCTTACACGCAAAGGCATTGTGAATTTCTCAGCAGAGATTTTTTATTTTAAGTTCATGAGATGTAGCTGCCCAACCACAATTCTAGCCCTTACTTCTCCCGGTTAAATAATCCTGATGGAGGAAAGTGCTTGAACAGATAGATGGATGGGTGGATAGATGGAACTATATAAATGGCTGGTCAGAGCAGCACCTCTACAGCAGCAGCTTTAATATCTCTTCAGAAAAAATAAATAAATGCACAAGTGTACTCTTTTCCCTTGATTGAACATGGCGATCAGACAGGGATCCAGCTCCCCTGCCTTAATACCACTCAAAATTCAAAAACAGTTGCAGTCCGCGGCTTTTATCATTAAGCTACAGTAGAGAGAGTGCTGCATGCTGAGCTAATGCTTCTACTGGTTAAAAAGGCAAAGATTCCCCAATTCCCACCTACCACTGGATGTCATGATTGGACCGTGAAGAAATAGAACAGCAAAAACAATGTTAAACAGCTGAGAAATGAGATAAACTTGGAAAAAAATATAAATGAATGTGTGACTGAAATACAGGATCCTAAAATGACAGTAACAAGCATGAGGTTTAAATTGTACAGTACAGGAACAGTGGGTTTGTCCTTTATTCCTCTCTCTTTCTGTTCTCACAACCTGAGGAGTCCTCGTTAACCAACACCTGGGCTTCGGGTTGGCCGCTTCCACCAGTCGCTGATCAATCGGCCGGTCAACTGGAACAAACTGCTCAAATCGCTAGCTAAACAACCACTGGCCAGCTTCAATTGTCTCAAACTCACCAATAGGCAGCCAGCAAAGGCTGACCTGGCTCCAGTGGACAACTGGATAGAAATTGCTTAAAAACACAACTTAAAAACCAAAAAAAAATACCAGCTATTTTGGATGTTATTCAGTCCTTTCCATCAGAACAGAGCGAGAGATTTTTCCAAACCTGACTTCTGGCACCATAGTGGAATCTGAAGTTTAAGTAGTAGTCTTGTTGGCGTACGTTGGCAATGACAAACGTTTGGGAGAGGTTTAGGTGTCGAGGCAGGTGCGCCTCCTGCTGGCCAGGAGGTCTCTGTAAACGGAGGAGTTGAGGAAACGGGGGAAGGAGTCTCGATGCATCAGTGTGTAAATCTGGAGTTGGGCATCTTCGTACATCAGGCTGCTGGGCTCCGCTAGACTCTGGTTTATTCCTTCTCTTACCCGCGAGTCCAAACTCACCTGAGGTAACAAAACGTTAATTCAGAAAGTTTAACTAGAAGTTCGATCTTTGTGAACGTTAGAACCTTTTTTTTTCATTTTAGTATGATCTCTTTCAGCAACACAGTGTTGGCTCACCTCTTTGGGTGATAATATAGAGACATAATCTTCGTAAATAATCCTGGCCTTCTCATCTACGGTTGAGGGGTTCGTCTCCTTCTTCAGCTCATCACAGGCCAACCAGAAAAGCAGGTTGTCTTCGCTATACTCGGAGCGCAGAAACTCCCGGAAGACCTCCCTGCCCTCCAACGATCGCAGCAACAACTCGAAGCTCCGTGCCCACGACAGAACCTCTTCTAAACTGGGATGTCTGCATTTTTTAAAATGTAAGGAAACAGTCAGGTTTTAGATGAAAAAGGTACACAACAGACAAAAAAGACACATCAATGGTGGGAATTGGCCCATTCTTACTGTTCTTCTGCAGCTTCAATACTGTCCATTTTGGTGCAGGTTTGGCGTTCAGTTCTTTCGATTCTGTCTTCATTCCTGGATTAGACACAGGAAGCGATCAAGCATGCCAGCGTAAACACCTGTATGCATTTCTAGTGGGTCAAATGTGTAATAATTTGATCCACCTGTAGACAAAAAATTATTGATGCTGCAGGATGAAGGGTCAAGCCATGTAGATGGCATGATGTCAACAGGTATTAACATAAAACTGCAATCAGTCTTATTAATATTATAATCTTCTAATTTATTCTTTTTACTCTAGCTTTCGTTATAACCCAGCTGCACTCTCCTAAAACCTGGAACTGCTTTATAATTGCAGGACCGGAAAACAAAAGGGAGCCAGAAGTCTCTATCAGTTATATGTAAACAGATCAAAGGCACCAATGTCTAACAGCTGCTCTGGGTTGATAATCAGTTTTTCATATATTCCACTTTCCCAACATTTCATACAGTCAAACCACTCATCCTGAAACTTCCACAGATACAAATCAAAACTCTACAGGGCAACATCCAAAATGAAATTTGAAAACATTAATATAAGACTGCAACCTAAGAGGGAATGTAATGTTCGCTTTGCTGATCAGCAGTAGATTAGTTATTTCATGCAGGCCTACGTTCATCCAAATCAGACATGAGCTGTGCAGATAAAAGGCCACCCATGCTTCAAACACAGGATCAGGACTCTGCAGAAACACAATGGCTCCATGATCTTGAGAGCATTATTACTTATTTGTTTGATCGATCAGTTAATCGTCATTAAAGCTACAGATGTACAGATACCAGATTTTAAAACTAGGTAGAAGTACTTACATTAAGAGTATTTGCTGATATTGAGTACTGCATTACTAATACTGTCTGAGAAACAAAGCTCCCATAACAATGGTAACGGGTTCTGTAGTATCAAAGTATGCGTAATAGTACAATTAAATGCATTTGGTATACAGAGTCAGAATCAGAAGGGTTTATTGCCATATGTGCGAGGATCATAACATTAGCAAATTGCTGCGGTACTTAGTGCAAGAAATAATAAATGATCATTAAAAATTAGAATTAAAAAATACAAACAATGAAATTAAAATATTTTGGGAAGCAATAATTACAATAGCAGCTACTGCATATACAAGTCAGTGTAGGTACTGGTCAGAGCAGATCAGTTCAGGTGCAAACACAACACAGGGTGAGGTGACTGGAACAAAGCAGCTGGAGCGGGCAGTCTACCATTGACATTCATGAGTCCGACCACAGAGGGAAGATACGTTTTTTTGTGGTGAGAGGTTCTGGTTCGAATGGATTGAAGCCTCCTGCCAGATGGGAGTGAGTCAAAGTGTCCAGTGCGAGACAGGTCAGCTGTTATTCAACCTGCACGCCTCAATGTCCTAGAGGTGTACAGGTCCTGTATAGAGGGGAGTTTGCAGCCAATGACCTTCTTAACAGAGTGTACAAAACGTTGCAGACTTTTCATGTCCCTGGAGGTAGCTCCAGCGTACCACACGGTGATTGAAGAGGTGAGGATGGACTCGATGGCTGCGGTGTAGAACTGCCGCATCGACTGTACTGGAAGAGTTGCCTCGGGAAGTACATCCTCTGCTAGTCTTGTTTTATGACGAAGACGATGGTGGGCTCCCACTTGAGGTCCTGGGTGATGGTGGTGCCCAGGAAGCGACATGAGTTCTACATCGTGATGGGAGTGTCAGACAGGGTTATGAGGGGGAGTGGGGCTGTGTGTCCACCAGAACTTCCGTTGTCTTCTGTGTGTTGTTGTGGCTGCACCAGGACACCAGCCGTTCAACCTCCAATCTTTAGGCAGACTCATCCCCATCAGAGATAAGTCCAATGATGGTGATGTCGTCTGCAAACATAAGCTTGACAGACTCGTAGTTGGAGGTGCAGCCGTTAGTGTATAGACAAGGAAGCTTTATTTATACAGCACCTTACAACAGTATAAAACTGACCAAAGTGCTTCACAGATTTTAAAAACAATAAACAACATAAAAATGCATAAAAGCTAAAGCTTAAGAACTAAAAAGACTCTCATGCTGAGTTAACAGCCAAATCTTAAAAATAGGTTTTCAAAAGAGATTTAAAACCAGACAGTGAAGAGGCCGACCTAATGCTTAAAGGCAGCGCACATTGCAGAGCCTAGGGGCCGCTACAGAGAAAGCCCTGTCACCTCTGAGCTTGCGCCTTGTTTGTGGGGCTTCCAGGAGCATCCAGTCAGCAGACCTCATACAGAGAAGAGCATAGGAGAGAGAGCACAACCCTGAGAAAAACCGGTGCTTATGGTCTGCAGGCCCAAGACATTCTTCCCCAGCCTCAATTGCCGCTTCCTGTCTGTCAGAAAGTCAGCGATCCACCTGCAGATGGGGTCAAGCAAGTTCATCTGGGACAACTTGTCTTGGAGGAGATCTGGGAGGCTTGTGCTGAAGGTAGAGGAGCTGAAGTCAACAAACAGGATCCTGGCATTGGTACCCGGGGAGTCCAGATGCTGCAGGATGACGTGTACAGACCTGTTGGCTCTGTAGGCAAACTGTAGGGGGTCTAGGAGGGGGGGGGCTTAATGAATCATTAAGAAACAGTTTTTTCAATCAACCACAACTCAAAAGCCCAAAATAACTTGATGCAAAGAATGAATCAATGTGTTGTTACCATAATAAAAACCATTACAAAGTGTAAAGTTGCTCATTTAAAAATATTGTGAAAGTGAAGTCTATGTAGCATTGCTCTTAACCTTTCATTTGAACTTTGACTTTATGATCTACATAGGCATTATAATAAAAATTCTTCTGAAAAAAAAGAAAGAGTGAAGACACCTTTGGTCTCCATCTTTTATCCTCTTCCAACAGTTTATTGTACTTGAGTAAATCCAACGTTTCAGTGGAAGTCTTTATGTAAAACACTTGGAACAACACGGCCTGCCGCTGTCTATCGTGGCTCAGTCACACTTGCTGATTCCACAATGCGACACACTCTCAGCAGTCTATTTTGGGAGGATCTTTCCTTCCTCTTGCTGTCTCTTGTCAAAGTCCCTATTGTGCAGCAGTAATGGGCTAAACCAGCCAAAGCCCCGCGGTGCCCTCACAATACAGTTAAATATACAGGCTTTTCTTCACAGCTGTTTTGCATGTGATGGGTGGATGAAAATAGAAGGCACTCTGACCAGATAAGGACCTTGTGCAAAGGGTGGGAGAGGATGCTCTGTTTGACCCATTAATATTTTTATTAACATTCTAATCTGGTCTCTAACCCTGTGCCTCAACAGCACAGCACAACGTCCAACTCAGAGACTCACACTTCTCCCAGAGGTGTCAAATCACCCCTTCTTGCTTCAACGGCACGGTAAATGAACACATAGGTTAGTGAGGACGGTTCTCCTGGACCATTCTGGAGATCGGCCACCAGCATTCGACTGAAAAACTCACAGCAGAGTCACAGTCTACAAGCTGCCACCACTTCGGATGAAGTGGTGTGAAAGAAGCAGTGCATTCACTATTCACTGCCTGAAAACAATGTTTCATTCACTCCTCTCTCCTGGCAAGAGTGGAGCCGCAGCAAGGCAGCTTCAGGAGCTGCACAACTCTTTTTAGTGCCCTGCTCAGGGGCAAGAGAGGTTCAGTGCAACGCTGACATACAGGGGAAATTGTACATGTGAGGATGTAACTCATCTGTTTTGTTTTCAAAACAAACTTAGGACATGCGGCATGCTGTTTCAGTCAAATGTTTCAATCTGGGACTTCATTAACAGGAGAATGAGTGAAGAAGTTAAACGCTGAACTCATAACCTGCTTCAGAACCTCTGTTACCATGGTGACCTCAAGAGAGCCTCCTTTGTGAAAACAAAAAAGTACTCTTAAGCTAAATTTAGGCGGCTAAGCAAGGACTCACAGAACAGCTCCCTCCCTGTGGTCTCGGTAATAGGTAAATACAACCATATATTAGATGAAAACAAAATACATTCGATAATTTATTAGCACGCAGAATTAAATTTAGCTACGAAGACTTGAAGAGTCCATCTTGACCTTTTAATTTTCTGAGCTTTTCAGCTCCGATGAAAGCTGCACAAGCATTTTTAGTTTTTCATGCGAACTTTCTGTAAAAAAAAATCTTGTTCGTCCAAATTTTAGTTTTTGGTGTCTACTGTATATAGTAAACCTTTTTTCATTACACTGTAGCAAAATGTTTAAACTTTAAAAAGCAGCAAATATTTAGTATTGCTTCTAAACAAGTGACTTCAAATGTGTATGTTTATTTTCATATTTTTGAGTCATTGTGACTAATATATTAAGTTTTAGCATTAATTAAAGAGCAAGTTACCCCCTACCAGAGTCTTACTCCACTGCAACTTCCTGTTTGAAAAATGCAACAAATGCAGTTACCTGGCAGACCGAGAGGGCAAAGCCACTAACAAACACACACACAGGCTCACAACGACATTGTGACATCATATGGTACCGGCTAACATCATAATGTAGGTCTTAGCCAATCGTGATGGCAGATTTACATTCAAATGGAGTGCAGAGATTTTATCTGAAGAGGGCACAACACTGACAGTCTTAGGCAGAATATTAATTTTTTTACTATGATGCATTAAAGTGTCA